AAAAAGCAAAGAACATGGCTGACGGTCCACGTCAGAGAAATCACTTGTTAAAACGTCTCCCGGCGACCCTGCATGTTCCAACTTCCTCCCTTGACTATGGAAGCAGCAGAGTTGTGCCCACCGTGCAATAGCTGCTGCAAGTAAGCACCAACGCCTGGATTTCGCAGATCGCCGCAGATTGCTGGTTTTGTGGCCCAGTCAGCTAGATTTGAATCTTGGAGGGCCGCCGCACTGGCTTTTCCCCGTCTCAAACAAGGCTTCCAGCGATCAAGACCACTCGCTCACTCACCCACCTCACTTCACTTCACCTCACCTCACCCCACTCACTTACTCACTCACTCACAGAAGATCCCGAGGTCACCGCAACAAGAGCCAGCTTATTCTGTAGCCAACTCTCGCGCAGATGTTGGGTTTCGGGGTCATCCAGGCCTTAACATCTTCACCCTTAAAGATGATGCTTTTCGAGGGTTCCGAGTCATCCAGGTGCCCCGCCACCGTTCGGTCGTTGTGCTGCCACCCCGCCTGGTTGCTACCACCCGTCCACTCATGGCGCGTGGCCGCTGTGGAGATGGAACGCCTTGGCACCGTGGCCGCTGTTCCATGTGGCACCTGGAGCCCCCAATCCTGGTGGCGAAGCACATCCGTTCGACGTTTGGGAGGAATCTGTTCCATGTGTTCACCGCAGTCCACCAGGGTTACGGGGACCCACAGCGTGTTTGCCATGACCGAGCTGGGGGGCGAACGTCGGGCTCCATGACCCATCGCGACAGGTCAGAGTGATACCCCTTGGCCAGGTGAGTTGCCTTTGTGCAGGTCACTCTGTCACTCGACAGTCGGATCATGATTCATGATGTTTTTGGTGTCACTTCTTTCCTGCACAAACAGGGTTTGCTTCCATAGGTTCCAGGTCCAACTTTTGGACCAACGGATCCCTCGGAACTGGAAAGAACGATCCAAACCCCACAGGGACAGCGTTTAGAGTCTAGAGAACCATGTGGAAGAGCCATTTGTGTTGCCAAAGGGTGCCCTTGCGGCATTGACCCAAAGCTATGTTACCAAAATGTGCCGCTTGAAGAGTTGCCTCCCACAACTAAAGGCATGGCTTGAAGAAGACAATGATGGAATTGATGTATACAACCGAATACACAAATGCTATATAGGTCAATACATCTTTGTTGGACATCACATGAGGTTATTTTTAAAGAAACATGACAGCAGCTGGACCCGGATCAAATCCCACACGTGTCACATGACGTAGCCTGAGTTGATCATGACCCAGCCATGTCTGGGCATCCAGCTGGGACTTCTGCACTCCAGTGATCATCACCTGCCTGCGAGCGAGAAACGCGAGAAGCGCGAGAGAACGCTGATGTGAGCCCGGCACCACCTGCACTGCCTGATCTTCCATTGCATGCAGCATGTTGCATAAATAGGAACAGGGAGACTTCTAAAGGCCTCTGGGAACTCCCTGTTCTGTACAGAAAAGTCACGGTCACGAGCTCTTCAGGCATCCACAGAACGCTGAAAATGAGCTTGGTTTTTGGGCCGAACCGCCGTAGGACTGGAGCAACATGAGCAACACGGCTATACGGGTGGTTTTTCTGAAAAATCACCAGAGCAAAAAAGAACATGCAATGCAACTAACTTTGCCCCGTTGGACTGTTCAAAATCCATAGAGATTCTCAAATCAACATGGACCCCAACGGACTTTGCAAGCCACTTGATACAATCTGCTGGACTTGGGGGGGGTGCCCTCACATCACGTTGACTCACCCGAAGATTCACAAGATTCCAAGGTCCCTGTTCAGCTTCATTCCGAGATTCTCCCCCCCTAAGCCACCATGACATTTTGAGGTGTTTACTTGGCGGTTACTCCCTGGTTGCAGCAGCAAAGGCCACACCTCCGGGAATCCGGGAATTGGTCAGTGTTTTACGCGGGACCAAGGAAAAAGCATCGATCCAAGCTGCTCCCACTGTGGTTTCCATGCCAGAGAAAAGAGGTTGAACTTCTGAGAGTGCTCTGTTGGGGTTGAAACAACCGCTCCTAGCCTTGGACAACATGTCTGAAGAGCCAGAAGAGTAGGTAGCTTGGCAAACCCCAGGTCTGCCCATGCGAGGGTCAAACGGACCCCGACAGCAAGGCAACCATAGTAATCCCCAAGTGGAAAGGAGCATCCACCAAGCCCTCCTGGAAGGGCTATGATTGAAGAAGGGGCTAGTAAAGCCCTGCCATGACCTCTTTCTATTTCCAGCATGCACAATATTCTTCGAAAGCATCACGTCGGGCGCCCACCCAAACCAAGTGTCTGGACCCAACTTCTTTCGTTCCCTTGAAAATGGGACATGATTTAGTGAACATGATCGTAAATACAAAACCAAACAGAAAAACCACAAAAAGGAGCTGGTCCTTTCCTAGGGCCGACTCTCTAGGTACAAACATCACGGGTCGACCCGGACTTCTCTCCCTTGGCGCGGTTCCTTCCAACCGGAGCGACGGAGTCGGTCGTCGCGGTCGTCGTCGCTCAATCCCAGCGGCCCGACGTCCAAGAAGCCCTGCTCCGTGAAGCCGCCATCCAAGTCGGCACAAAGCCGATAGTTCACACCCACCTGAGGTGAGCACAAGAGGGACAAACGAGCTTTTTGGGCGTTAGTATGCATTCAAAGACTTTGGTACTGAGCCCAGGGGCGGTCCACTTTTTGACCTCGTCTTTTCCTCCTTTTGGGCAATCCATGAGTAAAAGGCGTAAGTTCTGCTAATCTCGGTCAATTCTGGGATTGGATCCAAGGGCCTGTGGACTGGTGTCGTAGTTCCCCAACCTGCGCATCTGCAGTGGGAAAGTTCGAACCTGGAAACCAGCGGTTGAACCCGCCTGGTTTTCTCCCTCCGGAATTCCAAGAACATTCCAGAAAAGGTTCGGGACCACCCAGATTCCTCACAAAAAGGTGGGGAACCGGCTGCCAATGGAGCTGAACCCCCGTCCGAACCCATCGGAGACGAACCCATCCAGATCCGAACCTCGGGAGTGGTCTTCCCGGAAACCGAAACAACCAGAAATTCATGGATTCTTCCACAAACAACCACTTGCCATATGAGAACACACTCCATGTATGCCATATATTATATATGCTGTCCCAGAAAGACCCAAACCACCCCAATGTAGGCAAATATGGCATGTACATGGAGTGCATTTGTTTGTTTCGGGTTCCGGGTTCCGACGAAGACCACGGTCTAACGCACCCCTCTTCATCCGAAGGCCTAACCGCAGAACGGATAGCTTTTTCCACCGAGTCGAAGTCGATGCAGATGGCCACTGGTTGAAATGTCACATCAGCATGCCATCTGCCAGCGGCAGCAAGCTGGGAGGTTTCAGTAAAAACACATTCAATAAAGAAGAATGGACCAGGAGTCACATGTCGGGGTGCCGAACGAACGGAGGAAGTCTTGGTGCCCAGAACATCCACTCACTGGATGGGACTAAACACCACCCCGACATGTGACTCCTGGGAGAAGTGTCGATCTTTTTATATTTATCAACGTTCACGAAGCCCTCTCGTGAAGAAACCTCAATACGGACTTGACCACTTGGTAGAGTCCGACGACGTGTCAGCACCAAGGTCCAGCAGCTCTAGCAGTTAGCCTTCATAGGAGGCTGAGAGCTATCCCGGCTGTTGCCGATCGAAAAACAAGCAATTGCAAAGAGCTCTGGAGACATGATGATGCTGACACCGACGTAAAATCTCAAAAAGCATCAAAAGTAGGTTAAACGTTCAAAACTCCAACTTACAAAATTTATGTCTGGGACAAAACCATAGTGCCGTTTCAGCTTGTGCGTCGGGTTGGCACGTGCGCGGCCAGAAGCAGATGGTGTAAATCTAGTTAGTTGCTGTGTCTGGTGCCCAAGAAACACAACTCAACCCCATGGGACAATCAAGGACCCAATGTTTAAATATTATGTTTGAACACCATGCCGAAGCTGTCAAAGAAAAGTTCATGCCTCAGTTTTGAGCAAAGGCACACCATGTGCGATGAGACCTAAAAACAGGAACAGCATGGGTGAGGTGCGTTCGGGAGATCCGCTCCAGCTCACATTGCCACACCTTCAGCTTCAAATCACAGAAAAGACCTTTCAGGTTCTCACACCGAGAGTGTGTGGAAGAACAACGTGGTCCTCAAAAATCCCAGATTCGATGTGGCGTTGAGAGGCTAGCTGTGGAGAATCCACTTTTGCGAGAACCCCCCAAAAAGTATGGACAAAAACAACAAGTGGACTCCGCGGTCCTCAATCAGGTCACAAGCACTCTGAAAAGAGTGGAACTCGTCTTTCCTTTCCTTTTGGACTCTGAGCTGAGACTGTTTGGCTTGAGACTGTTGAGAGTCGGAGATGTTGAAACAGAAGACAGAAGCCCTTCAGGCTTTTGAGGCTTAGCTCAAAGCGGCATTCGGCCCTGCGCGGCCCTGCGTGGGGCTTGTTGCTCAGGGAGACTCACAGAGTTGACATGAAATGCTACAGTTCAGTTCTGCCAACGTTATATATCAAGTTAGATCTCTGTTTCCCACCTGGCCACCTCCCACTTCGAACAAAAGTCGTTCGAATTGCCTCCGGTATCCCCTGGGTCCAAAAGCGGGCCGGCCACCGTGTGTCCCACTGGACCGACTCCGGCTCTCACCAGGGAAGAAAAAAAAACGCCCGGAGCGGAGTGGAGGTGGCCAGGATTCCAGTCCTGCGTGGATTCCAGATGTCATCCTGCGTGGATTCGCCCCTGCGAATGGATGCGACTGGGGTCCGACTGGGTGCGGGCGGCGTGGACCAATTCTACAACTACGTACCACTGCCAGGACTAGGGCCTTCCAACACCTTCCAGCAGGTGATGTTTGGACACCCCTGAACCTCCAAGAGGCTAGAGTCTAGACACCTCTTGAGGCCCTGGTACAGACCTCTATCTATGTCTATCTGGAATCCACTAGCTGGGGTGACAAACTCTTCAATCTCCGGCCCCCATCAGACTGCAACGATGCTCCGGACACCCCTCGGCTGGCTCGACCTCGGCTTGCTCGGCGTGCCGCGCCAAGAGCCGGCGCACTAAACGACGTGCGAAGAGCAAAATGTGAACAGCTAGACTCCCTCATCTGAAATTGGGACAAGTGCGTGGCCCAATTGTGTCCAAGAGTGTTTGTCGCCTTGAAAACAGGATGGATCAAGTGTCGGATGCGTTAAGGCTAAGGGATGTGTTGATTCACATGCAAACATGAACCAGGACGTGGATCTTTGAAACCCCACAGCAAACAAAAAAGAGTAAACCACTACACTCCGACTCAAAAAGACATGCAAGCCAGTGGGCACCTGGGAAGAAAGATGGTCTACAAACAGGTGCCTGTCCACGGAACAGGTGACTGTGACTCTGAGTCTACGACGATCCGAACCGAGCGCCGATCCGAACGGTTCGCCGCACCGGGAGCATGCAGAATTGGACGATGTCTGACCCAACTCAATTCGGCCCCGCACGCACCCACTAACCCAGCAGAGCTGGGGCGCTTGGCCAGCTTGGCCTCGCGGCGCTTCTGCTTGTGCGCGTGGACCGCGCGTTTGTAGCACACGGCGGCGTCCAGCCTTTCTTCGTCGACTTCACGGAGGAACTCCTCAAGTTCGACCACATACAGAGCATGTGTGGTCCTCACCGGTGACAAATGCTCCTTGGTGGACATGGCGGAATGCCAGAACAAGGATGGCCAGAGAGGCACTGTGCGGGAAGCTGTTTTGGGGGTGATGTATTTGATCACCAGGTGCTGGCAACGTGTTACTTTGAGAGGAGCATACACAAGCTTGCTGCTTGCGCCTTTCCAGGGCCATTTACAGCATCGTCGTTAAGGCTTCTGAGCTCTAATAGTCTTGAAATATCTTGAAATGGTCTGTCTAACAAGTTGATCCCCAAGCAGGTTCCAATGATTGTTTCGTCAAAGGTCTGTGGCAAAGCTCCCTGTTCCCACACCCCTGAGCATAATACAACTTTTCCACTGAGAAAACATGAGAGCTCCCCTGCCTTCAGATTGGTCGGAAACCTGTCTTCTGTCAGGTTTCCATACCTTTCAATAAAGATGCATGATGGCTTTTTTGGGAGACCTCTGGAAACCACCGCCCCAGATCCACTTCCGGGTGTTTTTGTTGGACGTCCCGGATGTCCATGCAGAGTATGTGCCACCCAGGTGTCGAGATCCTCGACCTCAAAGACCTCCATGGAATGAAAGCTCCTGCGCTGGATCCTTCGCTCCTCCGCCGCGCTGCGGATGTCGCCCTCCTCCTCCTCCTCGCTGCCGTCGCCGTCGCTCTCGTCTGAGTCAAGGTAGGTCGACCCCGGGAGCTCTTCACCCAGCTCAGTGTCCAGCGTGCCCAGTGCCCTCGGCGGAACCTGAGGTCATCGGTGCGGAGCTCAGTGTCCGTCACCCGACAAACGTGACGCGACCTTCGAACGGGTCCATGCTAGTAGCGATGCCCTTTGGTACTACTAGCTTCTTGTTCCTAGTAGCGATGGCCTCCAACCTAATAGCGTCCTTGCTACTAGTAGCGTCCTTGTTCCTAGTAGTAAGGCCAGGAGCGCCCCTAGTAACTCCTTGTTTCTAGTAGCGATGCCCTTTGTTCCTAATTAGTAGCGTCCTTGTTGGGCCAAAGAACTCGATTCAGCGTCCTACAGTGAAACCCCACCGGTGCAGTGAAACCCTGTTGCGCCTGCGAGCGGTGCGAAAAAACCGGTCACACGGACGCAAGCACCGTGCTGTGCCCTGTCACCCGAACACAGACGCCCTGTGAAGGACCATGTGTGGTCGGACCCAAGTCTTTAAGAATCCGTAGACACTGCCATATTGGAGGAAGAACATGGAAGAACCCTTGCTGTAAAATGTACAGTAAATGCCTTTTCTAGAACCAGTTTGCAAAGCACCAACCTCATAGACTGGGCATTCTGCACAATCCCCTGGTCGGAGCAACCAAGTTCGTGACAGGTCAAGGGGTCTTGCTTGATAGGGCGACGGAGCACAGAAAAAATGCTCGCCAAGCTGAGGTGGTCCCTGAACATGTCATTTAGAGAGACTCCTAAGAGATCGCTTTGAAAGTCGCAGTAGAGATCCGGAAAATCTGGCGCGTTGTGGTTGTGACAAGTGGATTTGCTTCAAGCAGTTCGGTGTCCCAACACGGCGTTCGGAGGCGGAATTTGAGGATATTCTTTGGAGACCAATGATGCGTGAGCATGGAAGGCAAGCCCCTTGCAACTTACAAGTAGCCTGTGCCTAATGACGTCGTGCCATGTGCCAGACCCAGGGGTCCTGCTACCCGCAAGGTTCTCATGCCAAATGACCCAAGCAAGATCAGGCAGAAGTGGAAAATGTTTTCAGATGAATGCCGTTGATGCAGTGGTTGTTGCTCTGATTCAACAGTGTGGTCCACCAAGTGTCTTTAGCAGGCCAAAGCTGTGCCAAGCTGGGCTTTGAGTGGATCCCCACCTCGATATGACCCTTATCATTGTCGTGGGTTAGCCCACCCATTAGATATGACCAACTGTGAGAACCGTGAGTGTCTGAGAGCCCTCCTATTTTTGATGGAATTTCATTCACTTGGATCAATCTCCCAGTGTTTGACCGTGTTTTTGATCAAAGCACCCAAAACTCTGTCCTCAAGCACACAGGACAGTTGGACACTGAAAAATCTGTCCCCTGTGAGGGTCCGTGATTACTAGGCCTATGGGGAAGGAAGCTGATGTCCCGCACCCCAACCAGCGGTGTTCACATCAAAGCTTCGATCGAAAGGTCATCCAGCTTCGCAACCATCGGAGTCGGCTTCGCCTCGGCAAACACCAGCGGCGGGTTTGGCAAAGCACCAATCTCCTTAAAAGAAAAAACTGAAAAGGCTGGATACACCAGGACCGTCCTAGGTGACTGTCCCTGAGATCCCAGAATGAGGGCACGAAAAGTCCCTGTGCATGCTTTCATTGCTTTTCGACATCCAAATGGGATCCCTTCGACCTGCGGATTGTCGACGTTGAGCTATGTATGTTTCAGAGAACGATGGGTATATTCCCACCCGCTCAAATCACTGCGTTTCGGAAATGGTTGCGCTCTTCTGAAAACCACATCATGTTCTTACAAACATGCAAGTCTTCCATTCTGGGCATCGGAATTTACATGTTTCCCTGGTGCAACGAGAAGCTACAGGAAGCCAGGCAAAAAGGCATAGGCTTGTTTGGTGCTGTACATGTCTCATTTTCTCTGCACCCTACTGTATGTCTTTGGGCAAAAAGCCCCTGCGCCTTCCAGATTCCAAAGAGACGAACAGCGGATTCTCCTTACATTGTCCCTGTCTCAAAGCCCCCACCTTCGAAAGCTGCGCCCATGTCGAGGCTGATGTGCTTTCTCCCCAACAATGTCCGCCACCCTGTGCAGCGACACTGCTCTGGCAGCCCATGGCGCGCGTACTCCGCTGTGCTGCTTGAGAATCGAACAGGCGAGTCGAGTCGACCAAGGTAACGGTCCGAAGAATGGGGTCGATCCATGACCATGCTTGACCCCAAAAAAAACGGTCATGACGGGTGGAAGTGTGAATCTGGGCACCTGGAGACACCAACAAAAAGGGCTGCACCCATGAGTCTTTGTGTGTGTGTGTGCGGGTGCACCCCAAAAAAAACAGCGGGTACCTTCCGCCTTACCCACCCAAAGCGCAACCCCAAGGTAGGCGACGAACTACCCGGCTCTACCCGGTGACTTCTGAAGGCATCTGTTCGTTCAAAGACGTTGAGGAAACCTCAGGTTTGTCCAGCTCTCAAAGAGCCCCTGCTCTTCAAATGGGGATGTCCTGAAGAAACTTGAGGAGAGGGAGACACGAAAGGTATCGAAAGGTTGGAAGGGCGCGGGCGGGGGGGCAAACCACAAGGCACGTATGATTTAGATCCACTTCGGGGCGAAGCAAGAGGGGTCTGTATTGAAATATCAACGCCCCGGGGGGGTTAGGAGTGAAATATCAAATCCAAGCGGTTTGGTGTAAACGGTGGTTGGTGTAAAACGTGCTTTGGTGTAAACGGTGGTTGATGTAAACCTTTGTTTGGTGTAAGCGGCTGTTGGTGTAAACTGCGGTGTGCTGTAAACGGCAGTTGGTGCAAACGGTGGTTGGTGTAAGCCGTGGTTTTGTGTAAGCAGTGGTGTGTAAACCATGGTTGGGTGTAAACGGTGGTGGGTGTAAACCGTGGTTTGGTGTAAACGGTGAGTGGGTGAGTGGTTAGAGTAAAACGTGCTGTGGTGTAAACGGTAGGTGGTGTAAACCGCGGCTTGGTGTCAACGGCGGTGCGTGTAAAACGTGGTTTGGCGTCAACGGTGGTTAGTGCAAACCGCGCAGGGACGTAAACGGTGGTTGGTGTGGGACGCGGTTTGGTGTAAACAGTGGTTGGTGTAGACGTCGTGTCAGATCTACATCCGATGCGCTGCAGCAGCAAATCCAGATCCGAGCAGTAGCAGTGGATGCGCTGCGCGAATGCATATCTGAGCCGTTGTCCGAGAATTGGTCGACTCACGGTCCGCCTTGCCGATGTTCTAGACCAAATGACCCGCTCCAAATAAGATCCACTTCGGGGCGAAGAGGTGGGGGGGGTCTGTATTGAAAAATCAATTCCAAGGGGGGCGGGTGAATTGAACTATCACTTATTAGACCCGGAGGCGCCCACACTTGCTTCGCAAGACAAACTCAATGTATCCCCCTCAGGCATACCTGGCCTACCTTTCGTGAAATCCTGAATTATGTCACATCCACAAGACCGCTTGTGGATGTTTTCCAGGATCGAATCTGACCATCCGTGAAACAAAACTCCTGACCACCCGACTCCCCTTGAACCTTACAAAAGCGCCTAACACCCTTCACCCTGCAGGGCGCCGAAACAGCCTTCCTGTCAGGGTCACCTGGACTGCCCCGTCACACTCGTGCAGAAAAGTGCAGGATGTCTTCCCAGACACAAATCCTCCCAGAAAGTCAACAAGCCTCCCCAAAAATGACAACGTTTTAAAGATCGTCCTTTCAGATGCTGAAATGAGAAAAAGCCCAGAAACCCAACGATGTCCGTGCTTCTCCTCCTCCTCCTGCTTCTTCTGCTTCTTCTTCTTCTTCCTCCTCTTCTTCCTCTTCTTCTTCTTCTTCTTCACCCAACCCCAGGACCCCAGGTGCAAATTCCACCACGTCCAAACGCCAAAGGGCCGTGAGCCCACTGGTGTCCAGCTGCGCCGTCCAACGGAAACCTCGGTGTTGCCCCTCGGCAGGTTACTCGAAGTGGTGGACTCCGGGAACCTATGGCTTCCCCTCCGAAACAGCAGAAGTGAACATCTCAAAGGTGTTTCAAAGGTCAGCCTTTCCAGCCACCCTTAAGACCAAACCGTGTTGCCACAGTGACAGCCCCATCCCCATCTTTGAAATGCAGTAGATAGCCGAATCATGTTGCACATGACATGAGGCCTTGGAATACTTGTACAAAGGCGAGACCCATTCTTTGCGACACCCAGACCGGTCCCACGAGACCACCTCGTCGGCTCGTCGCGCAACGCATCCCTTCGGTCCCGTCCAGGGCGCCGGGAAGGTCGCTACGGGGAAATAGCCGGACGAAGGCCGTGTTGCTGGGGAAGCTGGCCTGGCCAACTGGACGAGTGCGCGGGGAATGAGGTGGGGGGGGGCTCAAGAGCGCCCCCAAGATAGAGAGTCTGAATTGGATCCAGTCACTCTCATTCCCTATGCAGCACCAGTCAGCTGCAGAGCGAAAGCTGCTATCTGCTATCTTTTGAACCTCATCAAGGGTGCTAGGTGGTGCTGGCCGTGGTGAGGTTTCCTCTCTGCAGGCCATTCACGGAATCCTTGAAGGCACATATGGACGAATCCAGAAGACTCCGAACAAAGCAGCCATGCTTCAGCCATGGCCATGGTGGAGGCATGTCCATCTGAGCAAGTGATTGAGGGCATGTCTCTGCCAGAGACTGAACCAGGTGGATTTCTCAGATCCAGGGAATCTGCTCACCGCGGCATCTTCAGTTCTCCCCACCCGCCCAGTGCCCGGACCCTCAAGCAGCTTTAATTGAGGGGTTGGGGTCGCAAGGCTGTCACATATGGATTGGGATCAGAGACTCTCAATAGTCTCCACAGAAGTTTCTTCACCGGCCGGGAACTTCAAGACGCGGCCGTCAGCTCGTCGGACGAACAGCACCGGCACGGGCCAAAGCGAAACGCCGATCCAGAGCCACAACCGATCCGAGAAGTAAGAACCCCAGCGCCAGCAGCTCTCCGAAATCTCTGGACGGGCTAGAAGCGGAGACCCGGCTCAACGCGGGTCTCATGCGTCAGATCATGAAATCGGACGGACCTCGGCACTGGGTCCGGTGGAAAAAGCTCCGGAACCTGAGGTTGCTCGGACCAGGTTTTACGTCCTTGGACCGGCAGGGTCATAGCACTAAGAACGAACGTGCACCAAGAAGAGAGAACAAAAACGACTGGCGCCAAAGAAATGATCTTTCTTTCGGGGTCGTGCCATCCACTTCGATGATTTCAGGGAGGACTCCGTTCTTTGTTGAAGATGTTGAAGTGCTCCATGTTCCCACCGAGTCAAAAACGCATGGCCTTCACGCACACCGACCGTCTCTCTCCGAGTTCACCAATGTGGTCAGGCGATCGTCAGCGAAAGGCTTAAGTCGTTCGGTTCGCCCCCCTTCGACTTGGCACTCTGAGTATGAAAACACGTCCTAGCTTCGGAATTAAGAGCAACTTCCAGTAGAACCATGTCGGGGTGCCGAACTTGGAGGATAGGAGTGCCCACTCTCCACGTCACTTAGAGACTAAATACCACCCAACTCCATGTGACTCGTGGTTCTTCAATCCCCCCTCGCAACAAGCTGAGTTCGCCCCCCTCGCAACGGAGACTGGGACGAACTTTGCCCAGTTCGCAAACCCTTCCAGTTCGCACGGTGTTCGCTTCGAGACCCTTTGAGTTCGCTTCGCACCGTGATCCAGCAGGTTTGAGGTGCGTCCAAATCACCGAAAAAAAAGGGATTTAAAAAAAAAAGAAGCCGGGGCCTCTAAGAGCTGACTGCAAGTCTGAGGAGGCACCAGATTCCAATAGGTCTGGCAGTTTTCTTTGTTCCCTCAGCGCCGAAGTGAAAAGCTGCAGCAACCCAACCCCCAATTCGACCGTGGCGTTCGTCAACCCTGCGGTAGGGCCCCATGTCCCTGTCCCATGACAATCCTCTGTCTTGACACCTTGGAGTCTGTAGAGAAAGACCAGAACACGGTCTTAACGTCAAAAGACAAAGACTCAGCGAAGCACCTGGTCTGACCAGGGTGGTGTTGATGCAGGCCCTAACAGCTCGCTCACGAGGGCTCCTGGCCCACCTAATCCACCCCAACCATCGTCTCAGGTAGTCGGAGAGCGCTAGGGATAGTGAAGTTCAAAGTCTGTCTTGCTGGGCTTTGCAGACGTGAAGAATTCCAAATTACCTGAAGGTCATCCAGAGATCTGGTGCAGCTACTTCCACCTTTGAAACTGGTCTCGTTCTCCAACTCGGGAAAACAAAGATAGTGTGTCGTTCCAAACTCAAAAAGCCAAAAAAGAACACAAGACAGAGCCAACAAGGCCTTGCTGAGCTGCCATGGTTCGAACCTCTTGGCCAAAACCCCTTCCCCAACACCTTCTCCGACGACCACAACCGTGGTCGACCCCCCCAGTCTCCGCCAGGTCGGACCAGGCATCCGGAGATCACGGCGGCCACATCGCAGGCGGTGGCCAAGTAGATGATGGTACTCCTCGGGCGGACGCTTCGTTCCAACGAGCAGCACGAAACACGCGCGTAACGCGCGGACAGCGCAGAGCGCGCGCGCAGGCTCAGAGCGCAGGACGAAACGCGCGCACAGACTCGCGTTCGTCGCCAAGGCAGAATGGTCGCACGATCTCGAGATCATGTGGAGGAGCGCTCCCCGTTTTAGTCAGTGGGATGATGGAAGAAAGTGAGATGAGAGTGAGTGGCAGTGAGTCTTGCTGTTGAAGTGCCAGTGTTTTCCGCTGGACGGATGCCCAAAAATACCGGGTGCGGATGGGTGCGGTATTTTAACTTGTGGATACACATCACATCTCAACCCTAGGCCTCTAACCTGTGGAACACGTTCATTCACATGCTGTGGATCCTTTTGGAGATTCAACCAGACCTAACAGCACTGCCAGGCATCAGATTGCAGCCATCGCAAGTCAGAGGCAAAGTAGCAGTGCTGCTAGCTTCCAGTGCCTCAGAGCAGAAAGCACTTTGCCATAGAAACAGCTCTGCCTGCACTTCTCACCTGAAACTGCTTGAACGTCTCAGCATACCCAGAGCAGCCCGCCCGTATTTTCTCCGGTCAAGCCACGGTGTACTCAGCCGTGATGGGATTCATTTTCACGACCTCAGACACTGGAGGGGAGGCTGTGGTGGATGGAGCCGTCGCGCTGTCTGAGAAACAGGATGGGCGTCCAGGTGAAGATGTATACGTATACGTATATGACTTAGATTTGCTGGCGTGGAACCTGGCCTAAAGATGCGAAAGAACCGAATTTGCAGCTACTAAAGTCCTTCCCTTCGGGATTCACCAAAGGAACCAAGAAATCACCCTGAGCAACTAGGAACAAGAAGCTACTAGGGGCTCCTGGCATCGCTACTAGGAGCAAGGACACTACTAGGGGCTCCAGGCCTTACTACTAGGAACAAGAAGCTACTAGGAACAAGAAGCTCACTACTAGGAACACCAAGTATAGCTACGACCCCAGCAGGTTAGATTTGGGATGCCTAGCGTGCTTCTTTTCTTTTCCCAAGTCGCGCCGTCGTAGGCATTCGCATAGCTTAAGGCGGTGCTTTGTGCTCCATCGTAGTCTACACACAGCAAATAGCTATCACCCGGCTTCAAGGCCTCGACGCGTTGGTGCACTCATTGCGGTGGAACCATTGACCTCCAACACTTTTTGGGCCATCCCTTGGCCGCCCAGATGGTGGGAAGCTTCAGAACCTGTCCGCCCCCCGTTCCCATGGCAGGTCCGGGCACCGAAGAAACTCAAAAAATCCAAATAAAAACATCCCTAAGATCCCCAAAAATCTCTTTCCGAACCTCCGAGATTTGGATTTGTTAGATTTCGATGTTCTTCTTTTGGATTTCTCTCGCAAAGTAAATGGTAAAGCAGAGTTCTGGTAAACAATCTTCATCTCTGGTAGACTAGATCTCTGGTAAACGAGATGCTAAACTAGATCTCTGGCAAAGTAGATTTTTGTTGAGGTGTATAGGTGACTGCTATCTGGTTGGCACAAAGTAGACCTCTGGTAAACCAGATGGTTCACGAGATCTCTAATCTGGATCTTTGGTAAACTAGACCATCCTAGTTCCTGATAGAATAGATCTCTGGCAAACTGGATCTCTGGGGAGATAGACTTTCAAAGAAATCTGGGAACCGGTAAACTAATTGCTTTCACTAGGTTATCGCTGGGAGACGACCCCTGTGACCTAGATGGTAAACTAGAATCCTGGTAAGCTAGATCCCTAGTGAAGGAAAGGTCTGGTGAAGTAGGCCTCTGCTCGGGTGATGGTAAAATAGATCTCAGGTAAACCAATAAATTAAATGGTAAACTAGGCCCTTGGTATAGTTAGCTAGGTCATGCTGGGTCTCAAAACACTTTCAAGCTTTGGGCCAACAAGCTCATGAATCCCGGACTCCACACACTTTGCATGGCCCGAAAGCCAATGATGTTCCGATTGAAACGGAGATGCAGCATCTCCACCAAAGAGCCGAACCCACACAGCGACGCGGAAGTCCTCGAACTTCCGGGGTTCCGCACCAGCCCGTTGGTACCCCGAATCGCCGAATCGCACGGGAATGTCCATCCACTCGTGGCCGAGAGGCAGAGGTGTTGAAGGTCACCGTCCAATCACGGGTGAAATACGAGGCCACCTGCGCGGCTCGCGCCCCAGTGGTGGGGAGCACCCAGGTGGGGATTGGAGTAGGTTTGGAGACTGAAGGAGCTTCAAACACCAGCATCTTTCGCTGCTCTAGGTTGCTTCAAGCCCCAAGGCCTGTGATTCAGGCCTCAGGTAGGACAGGGGTGAGCACAAGGAAAAGTCCAAATCAGAAGGAATTAAATGCCTTGGCCCTCGAGCTTCGACTCATTTTTTGGGGGGGGTGAGGCGCGGTTGTTGAAGTCCCCCCTTGGAAACCACCTCACTGTAGGTAAAGAGCACCCCACCCCGAAAAATATAGAATGGCTCTGCCTCCCGAGCTGAAGACACTGAGTGAGGAAATCCGTGCAATGCCAGGGCGATCCTGGGGACTTGTAGGGGTTACTGTAGGCTTAGTCCCCCGGCCGGAGACTCTTGATTGGAGCTCTTTTTGTTCAATCTTTGTCTTTGAGAGGGTCCAAAACCGCGGGAGATTGACCACCACATGAACAGAATCGACCGACAAGGGACCTGGTTTCGGGTGTCCTGGTCTTGACATGTCTTGACCAACACCCACTTCAGCCTAGCCACACTGCGCCTGTCTAACCAGCACCGCAACGACAAATCGCCACCGCCGGGAGCACCTGCCAGCTGTCTGGTGCCACTGCGGCAACCAACGCAGCAGAGGCTGTGGCCAAGGCACCATCTGCAGCACGGAGGCCGGAAGCACTGGAGTCGCAGCCTTGGAAGGTCGTGAGTGGCTGGAGAGAAAGAGGAGAGAAAAATTGGAAAGGATCGGGAGTGCTTTCATGCGCATTTGCTGAGGTTAACGCAACCCAGCTTCTTTTCGAAGGGGCTTTCATGATTGTTCATGCATGTGTCCAAGTTGGGGTGCCTTTCAAAAACGAAAGAAACCCCTTCAAACTCAAGCTCGTCACCTAAAAGGCAGACGTGTGACAGCTTGGCTCATCTCGAAAGCAAAGACTCAAATTTTATGGGCGAGTGGGAGCTTGGTCCCTTCTGTCCTCGGAGTCATCTCGTGATGCCTCAACAATTGCAACGCTGATGTTGCAACAACTCCGCCAAGCCCCCGTGACCAAAACGCCCAAAACAACGCCCATAGTCGTTGCTCCTTTGTTCCACGGTCCTCCAAGCCCTCATTGGCGAGTGGCCCACAGCCTCTTGTGCCAGGTAAGCCAACGTTTCTGAAGAGCAATAGAGCGGGCAATAGAGATCCAAAGTGGTGGAGGAGCCTCAGCTTCGCAGAACAGGCCGACTCACATTTCCAAAAACCGCTGATCTCGCGAGGTTGCTGCTTTACTTGCTTTGCTCATGTCTGGCCAGTCCTTCTACAATCTATGCAGACAGAGGAAGGATTGGTGTACGTTACAAAATCATGGTTCGCTCGCTCGTAGGAATCTCCCACCTTCGATCTACTGCAGGTCGACCATAAATCTCAGACCTGAAAGGACTTCAACCTGAAAGGACTTCAACTTTCAGAGACGACTTGCGCCCACTTAGCTCTCGACCAGCACCCAACATACTCTACCCTGTGAAAAAAGAATCCACCCGGTTGCCTTCTCTTTTCATGCGAGCGGGGAGAGCCGGAGTGTAGTGACTTTTCAGATTCGATCTAGCGACCAGTCGCAAACTGATCCTTGCCGGAAGACGAACTGGAACATGGGCCCAACTCTACTTGTTGCACACTGGTTCTCACCCTGAAGCAATGCGGAAAACCAATGAATGAAGTTTGATCTCAAAGGTCTTCTAAGCCAGGCAAGGTTCCCCAGCCCTCAGGCCGCCTCAGGCCGCCTCAACCAACTGCCGCCTCAGCCCTTGGCGGTCTAAGGTGCCAATCTTCAGGCTGTCCGCGGGGTAGATGGCTTCAACCCCTGAGATGGTCACCTTCACAAGCACCGATGATCTATCTAGTGGGATTCATCCAAACAAATCGTGTGAATTCTTCTTTGGATGGCAGATCCCTTCTTCCAATAACACAAAGAAACGACGGAGCAGTTCTTCTCCAAAGCATCGAAGAATACACCCCTGTACAGACGCTGTCCCGCCTCAAAGCCGCTATCCCCAAAGTAAAGCTCCCCAGAGGTGTCGGTGTCAATGCAAAGCCTCCATGGGAAGTTGGGGCGATTCATCGGGGACCTCAAGGCACCGGTACCTCATCCTCTTTCGGGTTTGAGAGAAGCTTCTGTTTGGGGAAGACTGTTCGGCTCACAAGAATTGGTCGAGCCAAAGACTCCTGCTGCCAGAATGCGGGGGGGGGTGAGGCAAGAAAAGCCTCAAGCTTGACACAAAGGGTCACAGGATCTGAAGAAAAAGACCTCGGTCACCAAAACAACAGTGTTCGTAATGCCTTCCGTGTTCGTCATTCGGTGACTCAAACAGTCTTCCATCCGGGCACCGGAAAATGTCCATCATAGGTTGAATGGACAGCGCTGAAATAGAGCTTCACTTTTTCCAATCACAAGTACAGTGGTTTCAGAGGTTCGATGGCACAATCCCCGTCGGTGGTTTATAAGGATCACCACATCAAAGGTATTTTTGGGTGCCAGTGCGATCTACTCTGATAACACTGTCATGAACTATCATGAACAAAGCGAAGCTGTGTGGACACTCGTCCCATGGCCTGTCCTTCATCGCCCTTCTTTCGTCCCTTCATCGCCCAGCCGCCCAGGCTTGCATGGAAATCAAACATATATCAATAAAACAAATATATATATATATACCTGGAACCCAACTGACCCGTGTTTTGATAGGAAAAGGCCATATTTTGGGTGGTTGGTGGTCCAAAATAGAGGTCATTCAGGTTCTAGGTATATATATCAAGTGAAAATCAAGGAAAGTGCCGGCAGGGGAGGGAGACACTTGGGCACTTGGCCAGAACTTAAACCCATACGGTTTCGTGCCTGTAAAATACGAGCATTCCCCAAACACTCCATGTATGCCATATTTGCCTACATTGGGGTGGTTTTGGGGTCAATGTAGGTAAATGTGCCATACATGGAGTGTCTGAGTTCTGAAGTTGATCACCGTCATATACCGTGTGACTTCTCCGATCATGAATCGTTTGACCGGATAGCCCAGCGACTGCTGTCTCGGGCGTCCGACTCGCATTGTACCAATCGAGATGGGTTCAGCATTTTGTATGTATCGTGATCCCCAAATAGATAGAAAAGGTGTCCAATACATTTTTAGTGGGGCTCTACTTTTCGATCTATTTGGGGGTCTATGTATATAAGAGATCTGTCTTAGGATCTCACTGAAGCCCAAAAATCGTTTCTGAAAATCCTGTATGAATGCAAGTACTGTAACAAAAGAACGATCAACTCTTGCCCAAAAACAACCTGCAAAGGATACTAGCCATGGAGGCTCCATACCAAAAATAATTCATGTACCTAAATAAATCTAAAGGGGGGAGTTGTTTGCTAGATGTTGGGCATTCTGTTGCTCTCCTCTTTTCTCAACCAAGTTCAAGCAAGTTCTTGCCAGCTTCCCTCAGCGAAACTTTGCAAAATCAAATCAAGCATCACCTCAAAACAACTGACACAGAATATTCCCCACGAAGGAGCTGGGCACAAAATAAGAAGCAGCACTGATTGAATCCTAAGGCCTTTCCAAAAAGGAAATATCTTCGCTTCCGATTAGTTTTCCTTTCACCAATTCCCAACTGTTCTCATGCCACAATACCAAATTCAGAAATGGAAATGTTGATCTGATCCCTGTCATTTCCCTGTCACCCATCCTGGCCAAGACTCAGCAAATTTAAAACAATGTTTTTGCAATTTTGGTGCTGATTTTGGGGTAGTTTAATTGCAGTACTTCTATTCGGTGCATTCCTTGTGGGGCACAGCGAAAGAAATGAACCTTAGGTGGACATTACATCCCTGCTCTCCAGAAAAGGCGATGCTAAGGTCTCAGGTCCTTATGTTGGGACGGTCGCGAGCTCAGGACCAACAACCTCTCCAAACTCCACCCTGCTCACCATTAAAAGAATGGAAAATCTGTTGGCTGGGATGCTGAACAAGATTGACCATACCCTGAAAGCCCACTGGAACTATGACATCTGAGCTGTGTCAAAAACCTATTGGAACTGGGTTGTAATCCTAGCATCCTTTGGCAACAGGCGGTCGCGGTCCTTGGATTTTGCGGGCATACACTGTTTGCTCAGCCTTTCCGCGGGACCTTTCGTGAAAGAAGCTAAAGGGCGACTGCGGACGCATATGTACAATAAACATGTCATCCAAAATTGCCTTTTCGCATTTTGCATATTCCTTTTGCAGCCATGTGTGTATGATGTCTTTCGCACTAGCTTTCTCGAAGCTTTCGCGACTTGAGTTTGGCCTTTCACAGGGGGCATGTCAGGACGCCTGCATGACACAAACTCTTCATGGAGGTTGTTGACGTGACTCATCTACAGGAATCGTTCCAACCCGAATCGCCTGTAGGTCCAGCCCACTTGGAGGTGAGTCGTGTTCAGCTCCACTCGGAACTCATAGATGCTGCCTTCGGCACCTGGAATCTGCGTCCTCGGAATCGGTGACGCCCGACGTCGAGGGCGTCAGGGCCTGTCCTGGTGGTGTAGGAGCTTCTTCACACCCCAATCAAACGCACCGCTTTCCGGAGATCATCCCAATATCATCCCCAATATCTGCTTTCATCCCCAATCTCCCATCGACTAGATCCAGATCGGTTCCAGACAACCGGACCAGATCCACCGGGGCGCACGGCTTGCGTGGGCGTGGCGTCACGGTCGTGGATCTCCCAGTCCCCCAAGACGCCTCCGTCGATGGGGTCGGGTCGCACGTGGGGAGACGGATTCGAGACGGGCGGACTGTAGAGTGGAATAAACATTGGGGCAAGAGAATGGAGCATGGTCACTGGGTCAAAAGGGTCAAAATCGGAAACCTTTTTGGAATTTCTGTTGAAGGAACATCTTTGGATGATTTTCTCTACTGCGGGAATTCCGGGCACCGTCTGCTTCAAAGCTCACAGGACTCACATGACTCACAGCGGACCGACGCAGCAACCTCTGCCAAAGCCAGGAAAGGTCTTCTCCTTTTTTTGGAGTCCTAACATAGGAGTCCTAACAAGTGATCTGGTTGGAGTCCGCCTTCTAAGTGGTCGTTTTGGAGTCCGCCTGCTTGTGACCGCAAACCCGGGGATCAAAGGGTGAGTCCCTACAAGAACGCTACATCGGGCAACAATCGCGTCAGCCATCACGCTCAAATCACCCTGCCGGCATCAGAGATGTTCACCAGACCTCATACCGGGGGTCCGGGAACTTGCGCAAGAGGTGTCTTCAAACTCCTGGGAATCTACAGGTACCATGCGCCGCAGCATGTATCACCCGAGTTCAGTGCAGGAACCTTGGTTCAAACGCATCGGAAGACGCACGGAGGTCCCCAATCACCACAACTGTTGCTGCGGAGAGACCCTGACCCCGGGATTCCCTCGAAGTCCAGTTCGACGATTTTAGTTCGTCAGTCCGTCAGACCATTTTCACGGTCGACTCACTCACCCAGCATCCCTGGACTCTTGATTTAACCCATCCTATTCGGCTTGAAAAGCCTCATCATATGGGGGGTTCAAAATCAAGAGTCTACATCGGTCATGACTCGTCATGAATTCTTGGCCCCACCTGTCTCGCGGTTCAAGTCGCACCGTTGTGCCAGGTAGACAGCCGAGGCGGTAGAACAGCTCGTGGACACCGTCCCGGTACCGTGGCAGGAGAACTCCAAGCGCGAGGTCCTAAGACAGCATTCTTCGAGGTCCGAAAATTGCTCAACCCAAAAATCGGTGTGTAGCTCAGTCTAACCGGGAGACCTGCCAGGCAAACAACCGACCCCCTAGGTGGACAGTTCGGAAAATGGACCAGTCTACCCACCCAGGGGCGAGAAAGGGTGTCTCTCCCTATTAAAACCGTCTCCGGCACTGGATGTGATCCGGACCCACAATAGACGGGAAAAACGGATGTGATCGAGCGGGCACCCAAGGGGGCACCCCATCCCGAAGCCCGGCGTTTGTTTTCCCAAATTGTCCTTCTTGGGGTTAAGAGAAGACTGAACATGTTGAGGGTCGTGGCATCCTGATGGCATCTGGATAGCACCTTGCGAGGCTCAGTTTCACACCCGAACTCCTGACAGTCCAAGAGGTTTTGAAACATGGTCTTCTAGGGTGATCCAAAGTTAGTTCGGAACTTCTTTTTCTGGGCAAAAGATGTGTATGGGAACTGAAATCCAAGGATGTCCAGCCATTGGCTTTTGGATGTTTTTGTGGTTGGGTCAGGGCTGACCCGCCAAAATCTCGACAGGTGCCATCATCAGACGCTCCTCCACACAGTAGCGGTGTGAAGATGCCTGATATATATATATATATATGTGTGTGTATATATATATATATGTGGACTAGAAGTCCAAACGACTATTTTTTGACCGACTGAAGTAAAGGAAATTCCTTTTCGGGTCACCTAAAGACCATTCTGTTTATAGTTTGACTCGCAGGGTATATAATATATATATATATTGTATATATGTAGCCGGCCGTGTTCCATCCGTACAAAGCTATATATGGCTATATATATATATATACGCCAAAGGGACCTTCCAGAAGCTTCTTTCTCTACTCGGATATCGCAAAGAAAAATGATCGCCAAGGTGCAGGCCAATGACCAAGACTTGATGCCTCACCACCGACACCGGCGTCACGTACACGCTGAAGCCAGTGTCATGAAAGCTGAAGCGGGTCCCTGCGCCGTCCAGGTCCAGACAAAGTCCTCAGACAGGGCGAAGCCTTACACATTTAGCTTCAGGGTTGGGGTCTTTTCCCTGAAACAAACCCAAAGAAAAACCTCACAAACCCCGCGCACACGCAACCCAAACCACCAGCGCCACGGGCCACCGAACTTCGTGGCGCCATGTCATCCGTCCAAGAAGAGAGCGGTTTGACGATTTTGGACCAAATCCAGGTGAACATTTCGGCCGGGCCCTCTGGAGCTGGTGTTTGCCAAAAAAGGAATTGGACCTTTGGTGATTTTGTTCGGTTGGGCAAACAGCGACTAGGAGGCACAAGATGTTGACTGAACTGAAGTTGACTGAACTGCCAAGAGCCATGCAAAAATAGCGACTGAGCTGGATAGAGCCATTGGGTTCCCGATCTTGCACAGAAAATTCACCTCCTAGACTGTAGACATCCTTTGCCCTAGAAGGGTGGGTACGGTACGAGCTGGGTGGTCTCAGTGGTCTTTGTTCTGCAGGGAAGGCTCCTTCGGGAGAGACCTACATCCTACGACTTTCGGATGGAGACCTGTTAAGAGCGTCAACAGGTTCACAAAGCAACTCCTGCCGAGATGCGATAGCGGGTTCCTGGCCGAGAATGGGCCAGCTGAGACATGTGTTCAGCAGTAGTCACGATGGGTTGACTTTCTGCTATTCGTTGTAAGAGACAAAAATCGTGCCAAATAACAATCAGCTGTTGAAATAACTCAAGTGTGTTGTTGCGATCCAGAAACCATCGCATGAGCTAAAGAAGCCGTTTTCCCGCAAGGCATGTCTCAGCATTGGATAAGTCAAACACCGGGTTCCAGCTCCAACATCCAATTGTAGGGAAGGATCCTGGTAAATACTAGGCCTTCAGAAGCAGAAACACGCTTCTTCCCAAAGTACAGATCTACAAAAATAACATGTCACTTAGGACGAACTTGCTCGACGAGCAGTTCTGTCTGAATAGAGACGGACCTTGGAAGTGTGTTTCCAAGGCCCAAAACAAAGTGCATAGGATTCGTGGTCGACCATTGATTTCATAGCCTAAATCCCAAAAAACCACTGTTTTACGCATTTTGCGCTACAACACCAGATCAACCAGTGATTAAATGGGAAGGCTAGGGAGCTGGTGCTTGGCCCACTCTTCTCTTGTTAACACAATGTGGCTTGTTGTTTCTAGTAGTGATGGCCTCCAACCTAATAGCGTTGGCCTCCAACCTAAGCTCTTCCATTCTTCCAGATGAGGATTCGTCTTCAAGAAGATCTCTCTACGCCCCTCGTCTCTTCGCTCGGTGTCTCGTCTCTTTGCTCTGTTCCACTCCGCCTATCACAGTGGCTGACGCGTCGAAGATCACTTCAGTGTTGTAAACCACAGCCTCTTTTCCTGGCGAAGCCTCACTGCCGGGCCACTTCAGCCACAACCCGTGGCCACTTCCAACGGATCACATCGCCAGTCCACTGCAAAAAAAGCCCCGCTCCGTCTGCCTTTTTTCCACCCAACCCAGGTCTTGCAACGTCCAAACTTCCTCCCTCCACTTTGCGTCCCAAGAGGTCGTAGCGTTTGTTCTCCCCCTTGGAGACCGATGAGACCGACCACCGTGGGGGGTCTGGACTGGATGAGACCGATGAACCTCACTTCTTCGTCCAAAACCCAAAACACCGGCGGTCCAGGACGGCCGGTCCCCGTCGGGCCGTCGGGCGCTTCGTCCGGCGCTCCGCTCCGCGCGGGCGGGACCCGCCGGTCGAGAATCTGTCCAACTCATGTCATGCGCGCGGTGTCATGGTTTTGGCGAAGATGCGCACCCACACCCGAAGTTGGATTAGATGAGAAGATGTGGCTCTGACCCTGGAAAGCTCATGGAATGTTGAATCCAAGCTTACGTTTGGAGACTGACCTCACAGCTACTTCGGAACTCGATCCTTTTGCCATGGTCCATGCAAGCAACAAGATATGAAACAAGTGGTCTCCCGGCTCCCAAGCAGCTTCGATGCCTTCTAAGGGGCCACTGCGCCCAAATTGGTTGTCTTTCTTCGGAAGGGTCCTTTTGCTACCTTTTTCTGCCACTGCTCCTTTTTGCAGGGAGTTTGGAGTTCAGGGTCGCTCCATGCTTGCATGCTCAGCTGATGTTGGACCGTTCGAACCAGCTCACCCAGCTTCAGCACCCACCAGTCACTGTGACCATCCTCATGTCGGAGCCCTTTCTCCACAAACCCTATATTCCCAGCCCTAAACCCGTCTCTCGCCATCCGCGTTTTGCAGCCCCAGAAACGCTTAAGGACGAGCCCCTGGTGCTGTTACTGGTCGGCCGTAAAGGAGCCGAGAGCGTGGTCCAGTCTGTCGCTCCAGGCGCGAAACGGACGTGCCGCCGAAGACGACAGATCAGGCCACCGGCCGGGCCGAAAAACACATGCGTGAATGATTCCCTCACCAATAGACGATTCAAACTCTCTTCTGGACTGCGGAGCTTTCGCCTTTTTCAGTGTGTCTTCGTTCCACTTCTCGCGCTGGTTTCGCACCTCCTTCGTCCATCTGAAATCCATCGTTGTCCGAGAAGTTACAGGCTTTCGTGGTCAAGTAGGCCGAGGAGACCTCGTAGATCGGATCCTCAGACCACCGGGGCGCAAGCGGCACGTGGCGTGTGGCTTGGAGATCCGAAACCGACCGGGCTGTTGGGACGTGATGGTAGGTGAAGCCTGAGGAGCATCAACACTGAACTGGGAGGGTCCAAGCATAGAAATGCTGGGCAAAAGCCAATTTATCAGCCCGAGTCTGGTCTGGTCCAAGGAAGCGCGTTCTCGCCTTAGCGGTTTCACTGTGTCCACAGACTGAATAAATACAGTATAGCCGGCCGGGTCTTTGAGTGTGGCCTAAGTGTTTTCGCGTCGGACTTTGAAGAACTTATGTCACTCATATCGGCATATTGAAAGGATCAGTGAAAGGATCACCTACAAGGTGAGGGGTCAGAGGCTGATCACTCTGACGTGCAGATGTTCCAGAACCGGAATGAAACCCTCCGGTGACTGCGGACCGTTCCGCTGGGCCGCTCAGGTCTCGTTCGGAGGAATCGGACCCCGTCCGGACACGTCGTGGAGAAGCCTCCGAGAGCCCCCGATGTTCAGGGATCATGTTCAATCCGAATACTCAACAGGTGGTACCATCCACGAAAACCATCCCCTGTCCCATCCTGTCCCTCTTCCGAACATTCCCATGGCTTATAGCACGCATGGCGCAGTCCAGGTCCCTTCGCTAACTGAGCAAGATTGGTGATGCCTCTTTGCGTGATCATCGCTGCGCTATGCGCTCATGCGCCCAGACCCAGTTTTCCCTCCGCCAGATCCACATTATGAATACCTGCAACACCCAGTTTGGGTGGTTTGTAGACCCACCGGGCCAGGTAGTTGGACCACGAGCCCCGGTAGGCCGTGTTTTTCTTGCGATTTTGACTTTTTGGACGTTTTTTTTGCATCCCAGCTCCAGGTCTTCGTTGCATTGCACAACAATAAAACATATCTCACACTGCATGCATTGCACAACAATAAAACATATCTCAGATTGCACATAACATGATGCTAGCTCCTCGCATGTGAATTGAAGTCACCAAATGTTTGCTATGTTGCACTCTAAATTGTACCCTTGGGCGGAGAATTTTGCAATTCGCCAAGTTGATGCTACGTTGGGTATGGATTGGAAGTTCTCTGATGTCTGTAAACTTGCTTACTTGCAACAACAACACGTACGACATGGACAGTTGCTGACGGTCAGAGCTGCAAATTGTTGGGGTGGGGGGTGGGGGGTGGGGGGGTGGGGCCAACATAATGACGTCGGTCTACATCGTCGGCCAACATAATGACGTCGGTGGGGCCAACATGATGAACGAGCTGTGCAAAGTCGCTAAGCAGAGCCGGTGAGTGCAAAAAAGTAGTTGTGTGATTTCGCAAAACGTGGAATTTGCTGTTGCATCTTCGAAACTGATAGTGGCGCTACAGCGCCGTGCGCATGTTCAATTCGATGGTCCTCACGAAACGCCACGGCCTACCGGGGGTCGTGCACCAGGTAGTTTCCATCTAAAAACCACCCGAACTGTGGTGCTGGTAAATGATATCAATGCTTAATGCACTTGCGGATACACTATGATACACTCCGACATCCCATCCCATGGAAGTGGAAACCACCCTGTTTGGTCTTCCCATTTCAGCCATGTTCGTCGGAGTGTGGACACCGCCCCCCGGTTCAGCTTCGAGGATCCGTCGCTGGACACCCCACCACCGTGTCGCAATAGCGCTCAGTGTTCCAGCATCCATAACAAAGGAGCAATACCTGAATCTACATGCACATGTTCGAAGCACACGGTCTCTCCAAAAACATGTTGGAAGTGTTCGCTAAAATCGTAAAAAGAGCTACCAAACGCACGGTTCTTCTTTCGCTCCAGTGAGCGGCAGACTTGCGGGCCCAGTGTTGGGGGCCGAAATGGACCACCCTCCTCCATGTGCAAGCTAAGCTTTGTGCGCTCTTCAGGTCTATTCATGCCGAAGAGGGCCCCCATGGCCGAGGTGAAACCATTCACAGCATCCAGGTTGCATGTTGATCGGTCGCCGCCTGAATGCTCTCTTCACTGATCTGCGTCACTGGTGTGACTGGCACCCATAAGCCACTGAAACCCGAGTGCAGGGGGCCCTGGGCGAGACCGTCCAGATCCTGAGTTCACAAGTTGCAGCGTTCGAGTTCCTAGAGCCTGACTGACCCCCTGCTTTGGAGCCCAAAACATGGTCGTTTCCTATCAAACAACCAGCGCTTCAGGTGCATCAGTGTATACATTGTGTATACCGCTCACCCGAAAGACTTCCGATCCAGTGACTGGCTCATGTTCCACATCTTCAGCCTCAGAGCGTTGATCAGAACCAAGCCACAGTGCAGAGCTTGTAAGTGCTTCCGTTCGTCAGATTGCTGAGATCCCACATTCCAAGCCTCACGACTTCCCACGGCGCCGGTGGCGGCTGGGGAGTTGGAACTGCTGCCGGTGCCAAGGAGTTGGCCAAGTTCACACGACTCAAAGAGGTACAGCACAGGACGAACGGGCAAGAACGGGGCTTTTGGACTTGTATGGAATGAAAGACCATCTTGGCACCCCATCTGGAAGCACTTTTCAAATGGATGCTTCCCCCAAGCATCTCACTTGCCAGAGTGGCCCTGCTTCGTTTTTCCCCGTGTCAAACTTGGCGTTCGGAGTGCCCAGTGGCTCCCACTGCCACTCCTCAGAGCTTCCTCTGAAGGTGAATGCAGCTGATTCACTCCTCGCCGAGAGGGGTCGGTTCTTGGAATTAGATGTGTCGACATGCCCGCCCTCCGTGGACAACCGAGATTTGATGGAAGTGGGCCATGATGAAGTCCATTTCACCAAACTGGGGACCAAACTCTGATGCAGTGATGCAACTTCTGGAAAAACTCATCACATGGAAGTGGATGGCGACAGAAGACTTGCAGTTCCACAAAGAACTGTCCACGTCCATGAGAACTGTTCGCCAACACTGAACCAGAAGTTGAGCGACGTCTGTGTTGACCAAAGAGTGTTTTCCTTGGGCCACTTCAAAAACCCAATGAAAACATGAGCAAAAGGAGGTCAGCTGAATGAAGAAAACGTTAACTTTATCGTTCCGATAACAAACAATTATGGGCAGATTGAGTCATAGATCATCATAGAGTTAAGGAAATGCAAAAAAAGACATATTGCCTGCGTTCTTAGTCTATCAAAGGAATATACCAGCATAGACCCCAAACAGTTTCAACAAGATTTTGTTGCGTCAACTCCTTGACTTTCACTGTTGGTGGAAACGTCCGAAATTAGATGACGAGGTATGTTACTCCCGCCGTTTACTCGCACTTGATTGAATTTCATCACTTTGACACTCAGAGCACTGGGCAGAAATCACATTGCGCGAACACCTTCTGAGGCCATCGCTATGCTTTGTTTTAATTGATCAGTCACCTATACTATTTTTCCCTATACCCCCCAGCTGTTTGAGAGCAGCATGCAAAGAAAGACACGTTGGGGGGGGTCAGATGGTCTCATCTCTGAAGCGCTGCATCACTGTTCCGTTCGTCAGCCACGTACGCGGCAAAACGGCCAATTGGCCCCGGTGGGAGAACAACGGGCGAACGGCCAAGCAGGAGGGCCACAATGCGGACGAAGCAGGACACAAACCCGAACAAGGTGACAAGGCGGCGTGGCCACGGCGCGATCGTGGAGAGGGCCATTCTTCAGAGAGAACCCCAACAGTAAACTGTTTGGGGAACAAAAATCCACCAATCCCAAGGTCAAAAGACTGCTTAAGCCGAAGCCTCATCCCTTCCTGAATTCATGGGTGTTTCTCTTTCGGGACCGTAAAACAACTCGGGATCGGAGGAATCCAGGAAGGTGTAAGGCGCAGCATCCCTTGGGGGCGTGGCCCCAACTCCGCTTGGCAGAGTACCCGGTGTGCAGAACCACTGAGAGCTGGTGGTTCTTCAGAAGAGCTCTTCCATCGACAGTGGTTCTGCCATGTGCTTCCTCTGCTTACTGAACGGCCATAACTGGACCTTCCATGGGTGCATTGTTTGCGCCACGGAGGGAAACAACGCAAAGCGCAGGCCAAATGCCCTCTGTTGTCAAAAGAGTCGCCCTGTCGGCCAGACGTTTGCAGCGATTGCCCAACATTCGTGGTCGGGAAGAGTCGCCCTTTGGATCCCTTTGGTTGGGGAAGTCATCATTTGAAAACCTTTGATCTTGCATTTTAAGAACCTCCGTTGGCGCAAGAAGTGCTTCAAGGCACAAACCGTTGGTGCTTGCTTCAAAAAAAAAGAGCAAGAATTGTTGATTGAAAAGGTCAAAAAAAGGGGGCCCAGGTCAGGCCGGTACAAAATTTGAAGGAAGTTGCAAGTTGCACAGGCTGGTCTCCATCATCGGGTTTTGGGGCAGCTCGAGCGAATAAGCATCAACGTGCTTCATATATGTACCCTTGGGGTCCTCGACCACCATTGTTTTAATGGTCTGAATCCGGAAGAACCATTGCTTTTTCTCAGGATTTTAGACTACAAAAGGGTTTCATGTACAGGTGTACCATGTTGTACCATCAATCTACCAGCACCAGCCAGTTCGCGTGGTCTATAGAGACCCTGGCTAGATAGTTTCCATCCCAAAACCAGGTGCGAAAGTCCTGTTCGTTACCTTTCATTAATACTTTGGCTTGCACAACTCCACCAGTCAGGCCCAGTCAGCTCCTGTCTGTCGAGTTGTCAGACGCTTCGCAGCTCAAGGCGAGATACCTTGATGAGGAGGGGGGGACGGAAAATGCCAGTCTGTTCTGCCCCTAAGGCTCCAACCACCTCCTGAGAAGGTGATTGGGGTGGGTGCCAGGGGGGTTCAACTACCTTCTCAGGATGTGGGCCAGGAGCCCTAGGGTTTATGTTATTGTTTCTTCCAAGTGACCGAACTTGATCCCCGGGTTTGAGGTCAAAAGGTCACTTGGGGACTCAAAAAAGGTCACTTTGAAGAAGCTGGTGGGTGTGCTTTGTTCATAGGGAGATCCCCCGACCAATCAGTGCGCCAGTGTTATGTTCCTTCATTCATTTTTAATGCATACTTGACGAGGACTCTTCAGTGAAACCAGTGTCTTTGTTTGGATTTCCGCGTTCATGTCTTCGTGCCAAAAACAAAAAATGATGTTCGGGCAAAACCCTGAGAGATGGCCACAAATAGCCAAAGCTATTGAGTAAACAATGGTGCGACAACCTTGATGAAACACATCTTGAAGCACCGGCTTCTAGAAGAACGTGTAGCTGCATGCACTAGATAGATCGATCGTATTGTGTGAGGTACTTTTTCAACTTGGATGTCTGTTTCTACCAACCCCCACTTCAATTGGTGGCCCAACAAAGCTAGAGTAGAGGCTAAAGGTCCTTTCTTCCTCTGCAAACCACCCGGAAGGTCAATCAGCTTGGAACCTTTGCTGCAAAAACCGGCCGCCCCAAGGGTACCGGAGAACGACGGACGACTGGAGAAGAAAAAAAGAATGAAGAACGAACCGAACGTGTCGCGTGCCTGACCGGACCTGGCACCCCTTTCCGACTCTGGGGGATCAGGGTGTGTGCTTCTACGCCGAGAAGCGCTTCGGAGGCAGTACTGCAAGAGCCATAGAGGCCTTAAGCGGAGAGATGCCTCCCGGTGAAGAGGCGATTTCTATGGCTGGCCCTTGTGCTGATGCTTCGTGGGGATGTGTCTGGATTGGATCCGAGGATCATGTGCAGATTAGATCCGAGGATACATCCATTGTCCCCAACAAAAAACACTGACTGTAGACTTCAGGAGCTTCTGATCCCTCATCACCACCACTTGGCACGAGGAAGTCAGTCCTTCTTCACATCCCTCCTTCATCGCCAAAAGCAGTGGATTCATGTGTCCTTCGTTCCAAACCCACCAGTTCCTCGTCTGCGTTTCAACCCAAGAGGCAATTCAGCAGCAAGCCCTGCCCCAGTGCAGCCGTGACCACTGGCCCATCCTTGGGGTCTCGCAGCACCGTGCTCAGGCTGGTGACTCCTGGCACCAACGGCGCACGCAGCGACGGACGAACCCCGCGGAGGGAGTCCAGGAATTGGACAAAAAAAAGAACGAGAAAACCTTGGCAGACAAGAACCAAAGCTAGCTACGAGAATAACGAAATAAAGGACTTAGAGATCAACATATTCCACCAGGATGTCATATTCACGGTCACCTGTAGTCACCTTTTTCCATGACGAAAACTGCACCCTCACAGGGCCGACCAGAGTCGACCTTCAAAGGCTTTTTGGTCGACCTGACCTCCTCTGCGCGACCTTCCCAGACCAAGAGGACCAAGAGGTCAGACCTGACCCAGTAAATAGGATTTTGAACACCTCATTCCCTATGGATCCACATACTCTCTGAGAAGGTGATTGGAGATTCCTTGATGTGGGCTTGGAGGGTCCAAGTACCTTTTGAGAAGGTATCTGGGTCCCTAAGGATTGAGTAGTATGACGTTTTAAGACCAACTCCAGTAAAACGAGGTCAAACTGACCTGTACGGATAGCTTGTACCAGACCCTACTGAGATCTACTAAGGCTCCGAGGCTCTGCCTTGGGTCTACCCGTGGCATCACCGGGGCCCAGGGACCAATTTGGGACCTCTGAAAACGCTGTTCGAATCGGTTTCGGTCCGGCGGTTTCAGAAAACACACCCTCGAAAAGTAAACAGAATAGACTATCAGACATGATCAACCTACCAGGGTTAGGGCCTAAGGTCTTGAGCCACAGCCGTTAAACCACCCCTTCCTAACTCTACCCCTATCCATCTGAAGTGCCACATGCATAGGGTCCTCATAGAGCTGATGTGGTTGCAAGAATTGATGCTGGTGAGCAAGTCCCTTGTTTGTAGCAAATGCGTCGCCCACAACATTGGAGTGGTTCCTTTTAAAGGAGGTCCGTCAAGAAGTTTTGCCTAGCGAAAGTATGAGATCTCCACTTTGAAGCCTTAACTTTGGCGTTCCTAAGCCGATCTCCACGCCCTCCTCAGCATCCCTCAACCAACAGTGCTGTCCAGGCCCAAAGCTTTTCCAAGTTCAGTCCTCCCAGGTAGACCACGATGCCTGGCCAGTTGAAGGAAGCCACGGTGCCCGTGCCGTCCAAATCCTCGCAGAGCCGATAATGGACACCCAGCCTCGGCCGGACGGCGCTGGACGTCGCACGTCGGACCCGGCATCGAAGTCGGAACTCAAGAGTTGGCTGAGTCGCAGAAGCTCCGCACTCAGAATGCTTTTTGTTTATCGGAGCTGAGAATCGCCGGGTCAGATGTATAGTGACGGCATTCGGTGGGAGGAGGAGGGCAAAGGCAAAGGAGACGAAGATAAGCTTGAACTCAGGCGAACTTTCAAGAAAGGGTCTTGAGATGCGGCGGGGAAAGGACCTGAAGGTCGGCAACCTTGTCCACTGGGAGTTTCACTCTGTAAGTTCTTGTAGTGAATGCTCTTCCGGGCCCAAAGGTACCATGAACTTGTGCGTTTACCACGAACCGATGGCGGGGATGTTCATCTCCTCCCCAGGTGAAGCTCAAGCCGTTGGCTGACACCAGGGACACCAGGGTCAGGTTTTTGTGGGCAGAGGAACCCTCGAGTCCTCGAGTTTCCAAAAGTGTGTCTCAGCAAAACTCATAAGCGCACGATGGTCACCATCAGGGATGAGATGTAAAGTTTGAGCCACTCTTATCCAAATTTTGGCGGATCCAAGCACAAAGTGTTGTTCCGAGTTCACTGGCAAAATGAAAACCGTATGCTCAACAAAGAAGACAAACCCCTCCAATGGAGAATCCTCCTCCTCACAGCAGTACCTAGCAATTTTTATCTTTGACTGGAGAGTATCCCAGGGGCCTTTATGAGAATCCGCCTGCCCAGCCAGAACCCGCCAAGCAACTGCATGTCTCGAGTGTCAAATTCCAAATAAAAGTATGGGTTGCCATCCCCCATCAAATACGACCTCAGTTCATGCACAGCAGCATGTGCGGATTTTTGTGTCATGCACAACTTTGCAGACATTTGCTAGTGCACCCACCCCAACGACCAAACCGAACCCTAAGGGCTACGACTAAGCTGGAACTGAGGCTGTTGCGATGCGCTTTCGTTGTCCAACAAGCTCTCCCGCCAGCCGTCGTTGTCACTGGTGTCGCAGCTCACTGCAAGGTAGGCGCTGGTGGCCCCTGACGCGTGCCGTAAGGAACCAAGGCGGTGCCATCAGGGACTCGAAGAAACTCCAAATGATATAAATCTGATAGATCACATGTCGTTTTCTTTGGCACGCCAAGTTGTTGTCAGACATCGAACATGATCTGTGTCACCTTACACTTCGAAACACGTTCACGCTCGACTGCGGCCTGGGTTCGACTGCTCGTTGTATCCCATGAACGTCTGGCATCCCAGCTGGTACAGGTCACCGGTTGGTTCGCAAAGCACTTCCACCCTGCAAAGAAAAGCAGCCCTTCATTCTATTGGGCAAGTCAGGGAACGTTATATACTTCGATGGGCAGATTCATGGCAGGCGGAGCGGCTTGGGACTTGAACTGCAGTTTTCACGGTTGGAGGCCACTTTGTGGACCGCGAAGTGCAGATTTCGTGGCACACACAGCACTTTGTGATCAGTGAACTGCAGATTTCATGGCAAACACAGCACTTTTGTGAACCTCGATCTGTTGATCTCGCGGCACGTGTGGCACTTGGTGAAACTCGAACTGCAGACTTCGCGGCAAGAGCGGCTCTTCCAGACTTCGTGGCATGTGTGGCACTTTGCAGCCGAAGTGCAGATGTTTGATATATAGGTTCATGAGTGCTGTACCATGTGATCACATAGGCACACTGTCATGTGTGTGTATGCTGTCGTATGTGTGTTCCCTCACATTTGCTCTCATGCGTTTGCTCTGTTCTACCAAACACTGATTCGGGTCTGTTCCCGGGACACTTCAAAAACATGTGTCAGACATTTGTGCAATCACTTGGTAGCACGGGACCTTTTGAGTTTCTCTTGCGAACCACCGGGGTATATGGTGATACGAACTGTGAAGGAACTAGACATCTGGAAAAGTTCGTTCCGCTCTTGTGCCCTTTGATGGACAGTATGCACAATCCTGACATACTCGTTTCTCACAGGTCCGTTGTGAAAGCACTCAAGAATTCTTGGTCTGGTGCTTCAGCTGCTCTCCTCCATTGGCGGAAGCCGTCGTGCAAGTAGTGGATTTCCTTGCGCATTGTCGAAGCGCGCAAAGCTCTCGTCGACATAAACTCATTGAGACTTGGCGAAGTCGCAGATTCGGTCAACGGATCACTGGTCACGCACGCGTTGTGTTGGAACTAGGAAGAGTCACCGAAGTCGCCCACAAAGACTGCCTCTCTGTGTGCCATGATGTAGATTCTGTGAGATTTGTCCTGGGGCATAGTTTTGGTGCCAGTGGAAAGCTCCCAGAAAACTCCACTGCGTCCAGCGGTAGAAAGGAACACGTTGGAGCGTGGGACTCTCTTGCTGGGAATGCAATCAGAGAGGCTGATTCCACCAACCTTTCGCCATGGCTGGTGCTGCAGAGTCTCAAGAATGCTCATCTGTCACAGCCTTGCTGCTCTTTCAACTGTGGAAAGTTCATGACCAAGCTTGTTTTCTTTTGGGTCCGAGTATCCTCGGGGAAGCACACCAAAGACACCCATGCTGGAAGTGTATCCGTCTCCAACCTTCAAGGTCATGTTGCGCGACAGGCCTGCTTCCGCTGCCAACCAACTTCTCTGGTTCCACGGTGATGTTGTACCGTGCTGCCTCAGCAAGGATCTTGGTCGATGTGTGACTCCTTGTCGTTCCTGCAGGAACTCGGTTCATGCCACTCCTGCAGAAATCTGCGCCAGCATCTGGTCACGAGGCTGGTCTCCTGGTCCACGATGATATCCCTCATGGTGAAGTTCTCGTCCTTGAGGTGGTGTATCGCGTTACCTCATCCATCATGAGCAAAAACTTGGCCCCCTTTGAACTGGAAGCCGTCCATCTGCACATTCTCATTGAAGCTTTCCACAAGACTGCTCCGGATTACTCTGACGACTTTCTGCAAACGCTGCATCGGGAGCCTTAACAACCTCTTTTGGCCTTGAGTGCATCGGTGGTCGTCAGCTTTGAAAGCTTCTCGTAGATCTTCTTGAAATCAATTAGTGGCTAGAGTGCTGACGGTTGATCTCTTGGTTCAACCGGCCGAAGACTCGTTTCTTCGTATGGCTGTGGCACAAGTTCTTCTTGCGTGGCTTCAGGAAGTGGTTCAAGAGATTCTGACGTTTGATTGATAGCCTTCTCAGCTTCCGCTTCCCTTCTCTACCCCTCGAAGGATAGGCTCAACGACGCAAACTAGCCAATCTTCATCGAAATCAACTGGCTCATGAGCCTGCCCATGATTCATCCCTTGAAGATCTTCTTCAGGCAGCATCGTGCAATAGAGCTGCGGAGCAAACGAGCTGTCAAGAGGTGCTCTGCGATCTGGTCGTGGTGCTCTTTGAGAGGGCTCGAAATTCCGAAGGTAGAGCAGGTCACGCTGGCAGTAGGTCGTAGGGCAGGAAACACTGGTCGAAGAGCTGGATATTCTTGCCTTGCGGAAAGGGGATTCTCAAAGTGAAACATGCAGGTGCAGAAAGTGAAAAGTAGAAACAGTCGAATGCCCTGGATCGAAGATATGGCTTCGGCAAGTGGCGCTGGAGCCGCTCCGCTAACAGACCTAACAGACTTGGTAGCACAAGACCTTTGAGCTTCTAAGGTGCACCTGTGGGGCATATGGTGATAGAAACTGCAAGGAATCTATATACACATCTGGAATAGTTCATTCAATCATTCTTTTGAGTGTGTGTGTGTGTGCATCTCACTTCACATGCAGCCCATTTTTTTGGCAAGAATCTGATGATGACCCCACTCCGTCAGCTTCAGAACATGTCCCACTGTTCAATCGGCAGAAAGTGCGCCGGGAGTCCAAGATCATTTCAAAAAGCTGTCTTTAAATATAGTTGAACTGGACTTCTAAGGGACGTGGATCAAATCTGAAATCGAATCCTTCCCAGCCAATGTTCAGGAATTGAGTTTGTTCTTAAATGCTAAAAATGCGGTGTTTTGTACCAGCTCCACCCATTTTGGATGGTCATTGAATGGAAAACACATGGTGAACAAACATCAACAAACCACCGTGATTCTTTTCGGCAACCCCTGTTGATGTTTCCTTCTTTATGTAATGGTTCTTCTTCAATGATCAAAATATTTTCTCTTTCCAGATCTTCAAGATATATATATATAAATATATATAGAGGGGGGAGATTGATTGATTGATTGCTTGCTTGGCTGGTTGGTTGGTTGGTTGGTTGGTTGATTGGTTGGTTGATTGATTGATTGATTGATTGATACCATCATGTATGATCATGTCCCATCATGATCCCTAGAAAAAAGGCAGCATGTGTCAGAAAAGAATGTGATCCTTAGAAAGTGACTTCGAGAATACGTCTTATTTACTCTAGATTATGCAAGTGTTCTGGGTGTTTCATTCTTTAGTAAACGGTTTTTCCCTTAGAACATGAATATTCCTGACCTGTATGGGTTAGGGCTTCAAGGCACTTCCTTGAAGAATGACCGTTTTTAGATGCACGTTGGCCCAGTGATGCCATTGCGCCATTGACGCTGTTGGGGTGTTGGACGCTCGTTGGACGCTCGTTCTACGGCGGTGCCTCGGTGCAGTTCATCCGGGACACGCGTGGATCGGGGCGCGAGGCAAAACAGGCGATGAGACCCGAAGAAAAGAGAGGGGCCCGGAAGATCAGTGAGCCAAGAACCAGAGACCTCTTCGGCCAACCTCTTCGTAAAGTGACAGAAACGACGACGTCTGTGATATCATGGGTGAACACGCAATCACCAGCCTTGAGTTGTTGGAAGGCGCGATGCCGTCATCAGCCTTGGAATGATCTGGAAAATTTACGAAGGGATTTCAGCAATCTGGAACTTACACCGGTGAAAAAAATCACGGAACGGAAAACTAGTTTCGGCATATTTAAACATGGAACTCGTTTCACCGCAACTCCTGGGGAATTGGCATTGCAACTTGTTTCGGTGGACAGGCAGGTTTGAGGCACCCTGCAAAGTTAACATAGAATATGTTTTATGCCCGTGCTACTCCCTCAGATGGCCTTGGGAACATCCTTGTTTGAGGCCATAGCTATTAGGATAGAGGCCATCGGTGGAGGCCCACTGCAACCGCCTTAGAGGCTCGCAAATCTAACATGAAACGGGGGGGGGGACCCAGAATTCTAGGGTCAAATGGTCCACGTTAAATTTGGCCCTGACTGATACCAGGGCCACACAAGGTTATCAACCGGAGGTTTACTGCTTTGCGCAAATTTAACATGGAACGTGCAAAAATGCAGTCACTTATGCACCCTGGCACTAACATGGAACTGAATCGGAAAATCTTTTTTTTTTCATCGAGATTTTTTTTCCCCGGAGTAATCTTCTTTACATGTCCCATGTCCCTATCTCAGCTTTTCCATTGGCCATGCAAAGTGCCATGTTTCTCAAAGCTTTTCGTCATTCCTTGCCGTGGCCGGCTTGATTTCCCCAAACCCCAGGCAGCGCGCCTCTCGAATGCCCGCTACATAGACTTCGATCATTTCGGTCACATCTCCAAGCCTGGGTCCGGACCCCAACGCGCCGACCGTCGGACGCCAACCAGGTCGTCGCTCACGGATGCAGATGCAAGACCAACGATACTCGGATCGCTTTGAGGGTGCGGAAGCGATGATGGCCCTCAGAAAAGATTCTGACTCCCTCTTCCCTGGAGACTTTCTTCCGCATGGGTTTGGGAGCAAAGAAAGCACAAAATATGGTCTAAAACCCGGACTGTGGATTCGGTGCCTATTGAAACATCAACTTGGAACTCCAGTTCATGGATCCATCTTCCAGGGTTCGAAGCCCACCCCCATGATGTCCTTCTTGGAACCATGTCAGTGCCAGGCACCATAGATACCCATAGACCTATTGATTGCACTCGAGTTTTGTTTGCCAAAAAATGCCTCAGACGACCGACGAGTTCCCGACGAGTTCCCGACGAGTTCCCGACGATCCGTTTTTTCAAGTTCACCAGGCCAGGAGCTCCTAGTAGCGTCCTTGTTCCCAAGAGTAAGGCCAGGAGCCCCTCCCCGAGAGAGGGGTCAGGAAGAGCCACCAATTTTTCAGCACGGTCTCTTTTTCGGAACAACGAGGGGAAGCCCCGAAGGTGAAAATCCATCCACGTGGGCTCCAAGACTTGTTGTGTTCCAACGACGCACGCTGACCGTGGTGATTTTTTCCGCTGGGAGAGGTTCCCAGTGTAACGCATTCATCGGCGGTCCAAAGTTCACCCTGAGAGCCCAATGTGTGCTCTTTACTCCTTTTCGAAGAGCGCAGCCAGACGGTGAAGTCACAAATCACTGACAAAAAAAAAAATCCTTCCAACAAAAAAGCACCACTGTCTCTGACTCTGGGCATGAAATATAGCATTCCCCATCTCCCCACGCCACTCGCTCCCAGTCGCTGGGGACCATTGTAGCCGCCAGGGCCGGACCTCGCTGATGACGGGACGAGAGACCGAGGGGCCGTGGATCGGGGCGCGGTGGACCGCCCGGCTTTCTTCGGTGGGAGGAGGTTCCCTGCTTTGGAGTGCTGGAGGTTCTTTGCTACACGGCCACAACAAAGTAAAAAGGACTCTCTATCTCCCTCTCTCTCTCTCTCTCTCTCGTCTCCCACTCCTTTTGTGAAAACTCGATAGAAAGCTTCAACCACTTCCTTCCTTTTTTTAAAAAGAGAAAATCATAAAGAAATCGGAATCCGGTTGGGTCCATGATGGGTCCCAGCCGAAATCCTCACGTTGGGGTCCTTGTGGACTTAGTCGGATGGTGTGTAGGTGTGGCTTTCGGATACTGCGTTTGTTCATTCTGCTTTGTGTGGATTCACTTTGAAAAATGTCACCTCCGAAGGGAAGAGGAACTCGGATCGAAGGGCACTCGGTGCCTGTTGAGAAAATATGAGAAAATCATCTGCAGAAATGTGGTGCTGCTTTCAATCACCCTGGTGGCACAAAGCAACGAAACTGCCAAGCCTAGCTGAGCGCAGGCAAAGCATTCTATCGGATCAAAAAAATAAACTGGTAGAGGTACACAGATGTCTTGCTCCTTCGTTTCAATCACGCAAAAATGTTCTTTCATGTTAAGAGGACCGGGCCTTGAGATGTGCGGTCGGAACCTTTTTCTTTCCTTACGAAGGGGCACCGAGCCAGGAACCGCCTGCAGCGACACGGAGCTACGGATGACGGAACGAGGCACTCGTCGATGCAAAGCCGATAACTGCGACCCATTCGCAGCTCGGTGCCTTCCACGACCTGTGCCGGGCGGGGATGGCCGGGACTGAGGCGGGCTCGGGCGACGTCCGAAGTAAGCTGCGGAGTCGCCCGAGTCATGAAAAATCCTCGTGATCCTGAGTCATCTTTGATGAAAATCGTGAGACATGGATCTACTTCTATTTGGCAAACCCTCCCACTTCACCAGACTTGTTCCATGTATCGCCTGGAGGGTCCAATTCACCGTCCAGTCCACCACAGGCTCCTGGCTCGGTTGGCATGTTTTGGACTGGTCTTCTTGAGCCGTTACGCTGGCGCCGTTACGCTACGGATGAGCTGATAGGAAGGTTGGCTGGTGCCTGGGCGAAGTGGATAGAACCAGTTGATCATCATCCCTCCACATTGAGAAGGCCTTGAGAAATTCTACCAGCGTAGACCCCAAACAGCTTAGTTCGCAAGAAGTATTGTTGTTGTGGGCGTGTTTAATTTGTTTGTCTCTTTTTTGGTGGTGCCTCTCTGTGTTCTGGCTTCCTTTGGAGTGGTTGCAGCTTCAACCACTTCGTAGGAGAGTGTTTGAGAATGCTGTGCATAGTGTCTCCAGCAGTCGCTCTGGCTGAGCGGCCGTTGTTCGACTGAGGCCCGCGCGGCCGGCCGCGCAGGGCAACGCGCTCGTGTTAGAGTTATGATATTTTTTGGCAGCCAGGGACTGCAAATCCAGAAATAGTATTTTTTACATGTGCTTATCACTTTAACCATTTCCTTCCGAACTGCTGGGTTCCTTGTTATGCTCCAAAAAGTGGCTGACACCGCGTTCCGCGTTTCGACCTCTGCCCCCCCCGGTGGGTTGCACCTCTCTTCAGGGATGAAGAGGAAAAAAAAAACGGCCCCATGGCATCCATGAGGGAGACTCAGCTGATGTTTTTGCGGCCTCTTCCAAATACCAAAACACCCCTCAGGTCCGCCTCTTTGGACCACGGGCGACCAATGGATTGAACCCCACTTCTTTCCAACCCCCAAAAGAAAGGCTCCATGGTGGCCCGCCCCCCATGGCGGTCCCATGCAGACTTGTAGTCCACGATTGGGCTGGAGCCCTCCTGTGGCGACCTGAGATTCACGTTCGGACGCACGGCGCGAGTTCATGCTGCGCGGCGTTGGTACGAAGGATGTCACTGGGGAACGATAGAGGGGTCGATGCCAGCTGCCAGCATTGACCGAACTTAGTTGTAAAAGATGGATCCCCGTCCATCCCTTCCCATACATCAACCAATCAACCAACCACAGGTAAAGGGCCATCAACCAACACACTGGCACTGAACTCTCTCCCATCCCGGCAGCCGAGTCGTCCCATTTATGTGATGGCCATATGGCCAGCACGCCGGGGACCGGGGAGTTGGCCATAAGGCACCGTGAAAAAAGAAAAGGTCGTATCTCTAGCCTTGCACGACAAAAAAATAGTGTTTGGTTGACATGATTCACCTGGTTTTGTAGCGCAAAATCATTTGTATATTATTCTGCAGTAAGATCCCACCATTGGTTTTAATGGGAGGAATCCTAGGGGTATCAAAAGTGGCCAAGCTTCTGGACGTCTGGCAGGACTGCCCTGACACCAGAAACCCGGGAAGAGAACGCATCAACTCAAATCCAATGGTTGGAGAGGCTCCCTGGGGCTTCCTACTCTAATACACACCCCTCTGGTTGGAGGTCCAGCCCATCCCAACATCTCTGGGGCGCATCCAGTGGAAAAAAAGGGGATCATACCACCAGGATCCTCCAAGATCGGCTTTGGGACCCGACCACAGGTGGTGGGGGCACTGGACGGACGAGTCTCAATAAAAGACCTGTTGGAACATCCAGGTCGTGGACAGTGGATTTACAATCGCCAGCCTCGGACAGTCATGACATCACCACCCTCGTTGAAGAGTATATATGGGGTCTATCCTAGTACCTGTAACAGTGGATGATGATGGTCAGTAAAGGCCTTGTCCAAAAGTAGTGATAACTGTTTACTGACTGTTGCAGGTAATGGGACAGACCCAACTTAGAAAAAGGTTCTTACATGCAAGCACCCCAGTGAACGGCACCCCTTCGTTCGAACTCGTCTGCTTCGAGTTGCAGGTACTGTGGCTGAGTCATCCTCACCACCACCCGGGCACTTACGGAGTCATAGACCGTCATAGGCCTCAGACGCGATGCTCGGACGTTTCCGCGACTGCTGTGCCAAGGGCTTCGAGAAGGATGAGAACCAAAAAAGACCACAAACTACTGTACAAATGTCGATCCTTCATGCGAACCCGAATGCGAAATCGCAGATCGACATGGATGGTGAATTGACCAACATGACATGCTGATAATATCCGCTCCAACACCGGTCAGACCGCTAAATATACCGCTGACGCCCAATGGGTGGAACCTGAAAACCAGTTGAAGTTGCTTCACCAGGGTTATTTACACCCAGGATCATCCTTTCCAGGGTTATCCTTACTGCAAAGTATAGACCAGTCTATAGCTGCTATAGGCCAAAGAGACTGCCAAACCCAGAGTCCCACTCTGCTTCTTCAGTTTTCACCTGCCCTCTTGATTCTTCAACGGTACCTCACCCTGACCCTCCCAAGCCCACCCCGCCCCGCAGCACTGCACAGTGTCCCACTCCTCCCCAAGCCACCGGTCGCCAAAGTCGCTGCAGCGGCATTTCGGTCACCGACGCGCAGGTGGTGTCCACGAAGTTCACGCTCAATGGATCGATCGCCGCCAGGAACCTCTGTACCCGACGGCGCGAACGTGCCGTGCGCGCGCGCGCGCTCGCGCGACCGCTGGCTCCGGAACCATTGGTGGTGGAACACATGGAAAGAGGATCGAACAAAAAGGGAACATGGAACATCGGTAGCAGATGGGTAGAGGTGAAAGTCCCCAGATAGAGGCTATACAGAAGTTGTAAGGGGCTCCAGTTGTAAGGGCCCCTGAAAAGGGGCTGGATGGTGAAAGAAGCTTGAGATGTCTTCTTTCAACGAAACGGTTTGAGGATTCCCTGTATCAACTTGGGGAGTTGACCTGGCTGTTCCTGATGCACAGAGAATGGTTTTGGTGCGTCACCTAAACCAAGAGGTGAAAAACATCTCCAGATTCACTGGTCAGAGGCCATGTTTTCCTGCTGGTGTCACATGGCAGTCCCCCCCTCCTCACCCGGTCGTCGCTTGATCATCCCAGTGGCGCGATGGCATGCTCATTGCAGGAGGTCGGATAGCAGGAGATCGCGATCTCTGCATTCGTCACGGGTCGGACGTAACTTTGCACCCAGGTGACATTGAAGATGTCCGGCGGCGTTGTAGATGTGGTTGTGGTGGTGCTCGTGATCTGGCAGATAGTCCGGCTTGGCTGGCTTGAGGTTGGGCAGGTTGCGGGGGATCCCAAGAAGTTCGACCAGTTGCAGTTGCTACCCTCTGACCCCTAACATGGAAGTGAATGGAAAATGGTCCCGAAAGGAAGACCTACTTTCCTTTACGAACAGGGGGGTGAACTCCACTTCCACTTCCATGTGTTCGTCGGAGTTGCTATGTTTTTTGAGGGATTCTCAGCACATTTATAGCTTCATTCTGTTAGCTTGATGGGTCCCGCGAGGCCGTGTGCGTCGGCCGAGCCTTCGGCGGCCCACATCCCAAAGGCCCAAATCTGCGACCCTGTGAGTCGTCGAAAATCAGGTCCATGCCAGGTACCATATATAGACAATATATACCTATTGGTTGTTCACTTGGCAGTATCCTCTATATTTATGTAAAAGAGATTCTCCACGCATCCTGAGAAACTTTAGCCAAACTTTGATGGCCAAGGTGGTACATCGGAGTCCCTGCAAAAGATGTACGACTCGGCTCCAAGGCTGTGCCCAACATGGCCCAAACGTTCGACTTGGCAAAGCTTCACGCCTAAACTGTCCTACTTAAAAGTTCACCTCATCCCCTGTGGATCACGAGCTTTTTGCTCCCATTCAAAGAGAAGAAAAAGAACCGACCGGTTCCGACCCCCCCAGATCGAGCCCTCGTCTCTTTGCTTGAAAAAAAAAGAAAAGAACTCCGCTCGGTCCAACGGTCAAACCGCACCGAGGTTGAAGAGGTCGTGGAGCTGCTCGTGGAGGTCTCAGTTCCGGCAAGTGGGACACGCACGGGCCCCATGTGGGAAAAATGGAACCAGTTATATAGGTCGACATGGCAACGGGGGTGGTTGGATAGGTATATCATGGTATACTATAGGTGATGGTAGGTGTGTTGGAGGTGTTTGTAACCAAAAAATGGCTGTCATATTTGTTATCTGCATTTTTTCCTTTACAATGCCTTCCCCTTTGGGCCTTCTATTTATAGATCGAAAGAACTAAAACATGCTGATTATGTTTTATTCATTCTCATGAATGTTACTTCCTCAAGAAATATCATTGTAAAATTCATAATTATTATCAAGGGCCACTTGGGTGGAATTTAAGAAGAAAGGGCATGAAAAGTCTTCAAAATGACGTTTCAAGGGTGGCGATTTTCAGGTTGGGACCCGACGGTCCTTCGGTGCAAGAGTGGACACGGAACGTGTCCTAACTGTACAGTATGTTGTTCGAAGAAAGGACACGCCTTTTGGAGGCGCTACTTCCTTGGAGGAGGGACATCATGTGTGGTAAGATTCCAATATTCCAGGGCTTCCACGTCCGAGTGGAGGTTGATTTCGGGTCTTAGCTTCAAGGGTTACATAAGCCACCTCCAAGTGAGTCTGCATTGGTCGCGGTTGCTGGTTGCAGGACACACCATGAGGGAACAAAACTTTGCTTCAAGAGGGAGTTGTTGCATCGTTGAATGGATACGACTTCTTGCTGCTGGTTGCCCCTGTCGTGAGAGACTACTACATCTATGGGGCCTCCCTCAGATTCTATGTTTCTGTTGATCATCGAGAGTGGTGGTATATGTTTCTTCCCGTATGTCTTCGAGAGCACAAGGCATGCAATTCAAAAGAGTGGTACCGAAAAAGAGCCGTAGTACAAAGATATCCTCGCTAGATATCCTCGCTGGCCGGCCCACTCTGCTCATGTTCTTGAAATCTGGTCGTTCTCAGACATCCTGAGATGAAGACCAGGTCTCAAACTTCCCGCGGATTATCTCCCAGACTTCGCCCAGAAGACTCTCCTAGGTTTTCCCACTCCCAGCCACTGGTTGTGTAAGGGATCTCCAGAAAGCCCTATTGGAACAACCAGACCTGATTCTGCCCAAGACGGGCTTTAGAACCATCCTTTCACCGCTTCCACCGGCCCCTTTGCACCGGCAGGCGGAAGAACTGCTTGTGGAGCTCGTGGACGTGCTGCTGGAAGACGTCGACTCGGAGAGGGCCACAGAGAGGGCCACAGAGGCTTTGCGACGGACATGCGAGAGGGCGACACGGGCGGGTGAAACCGCCCGCGCCGGGCTGCGGGTGGGTGCGTCACCCCCGTGTCACACGACCCGTCTCCTTCGCGCAGGTTTTTGAAGGGGTCCGCGGGCTCCCGCGGGTGCGCGGACCCGCGGGTTACCCAAAGAAACCTGCCAAGGCCTTCTTGTCGAGTCACTGGTATCACTCCGGTAGTCACTGGTACCCCCAGCCTTCCAAGACCAGAAAAGAAAGGGAACGACCTGGTTTTGATGTCCAAAATCCTTAGTAAAATGACCCAGCTATGAAATCACCCCAAAATGACTCTAGTCTACCAAGCTCGCCCCGTGGCTCTGGCGGTGCCTATTAATAGCTCCAGCAATGAAGTGATTGAGGGGTGTCCATTCCCCACCCCAAACAGGGGGCTCTGGTATAAGTCTGTGAGCCGAACCTTCCAGGCCATTGAACTGGGAGGTCTCCCTATCTTGATACACATAATACCAGCACCATTCAACGAGTGTCTATAAATAGCCTCTTAGAGATTATATAAGGGGTGTCCAAAAACCACCTCTTGGAGGGTGCTGGCACACCTATTGATCCATCCTTCCCGCCCACCTCGATCTTTCGAATGATCGATCGACCTGGGAGCGAAACAGGGAGGCCCTCTCTCCTGCGAAAAAGGCTTGCAGAAACGAAAACTCCAAAGGCTGTCGTCCTTCTGAGACATGACCCAAAGCTGGACCTTCTCCTGCAATCTTCGCCCAAGTTGGGGACAGTCCGAGGAGATCCAGCAAAACGCAGGTTGAAAGAGTTCTCTTGTTGGCCAAACAAAGCAGCCTTTGTGTTTCGGAAAGGGCCGAAGGACGGCTTCCTCCCAAAACGCCACCCTCTCAGCTACTCGCCACCCTCCAGGCAGCCGTGGACTCTACGGTCGAAGTCGCTGAAGTACTGCTGCTCGTGGTGCTGCTTGTAGTGGAACTGCTGCTACTCGTACTGCTGCTACTGGTGCTGGTGCTGCTCGTGCTGGTCTCGGCCGATGCTCCCGATGACTCGCCGGAAGCCCCAACATCAATAGAGGACCGGTGACAGAGGACTCCTTATGATCAAACAAGAAGGGGATTCCTTCCAGGTGGGCGGTCGAACACCTCCCAAGGTGCGCCTCCCATCACTCATGAATTTTCAAGTCATCCTCTGTAGCAAGGCGAAGGATCCGGGCATCTGGACCTCTTGGAGCAACATAGAACTATATAATTCCTTCAACCTGACGTACCTCTTGGTGGTTCTTGGGCCTACCCGGTTCGACCAAATCCTTCGTGTCTCGTGGCGAGTGTCGCACGCCCCGTGGAGTCGCGAGCGGACAGAGCACCGCGCTGACAGACAGAATGAGCGCCCAAAATTAAATGGCCTACAATCAAAGAGAAGGATTCGACAAGTCTTCCTGTTGCCTGGGGGCTTCCCTGCAAACTGGTCGACCAATCGCTGACCAATCGAGCCAATCCCTCGACCTGTGATCGACGCATCGGCATGCCCAGCCACACTGGAAAAGGACGTGGTGGTGTCAGTCTTGGTGGTCTGTGAAGTCGTCGTAATGGTCACGGAAGACGTGGTGATCGTAGTCGTGGACTGGCCGACACAGAACGAACGAACCGCACCGGCAGGGGACGGGGACGGGTCCTCCTCGCGTGGGTGAGGAGTCAGTGTGGACTCCTCAGACCAAAGGCATGTCACTGCACAAGGTGTCTTGTCTCAGGCATAAGCGAACCCTCCTAAAGTTCCGAGACATGCGACTCGGAAGTAGCGCGGAAGCGACGCCTGTCGGCAGATGATGGCGTAGGTGGTGCCATCGGGTACGAGGGCTGAGCAGGCAGTGTGGCGAACGGCGGTGAAAGAAAGATGCCCAGTCTGGGGCATGGCAACCTCCATGTCTAGAAGACCCCGTGCAGGGTGTGAACCGAAAGTTTACCTCCAAAGATGGATCATGGAGGCGCATTTCCTGGCAAGGCATCTTTGTCAAAGGGTCTTTTTGGAAATGGGCAGCATTCCGAAGTCACAAAAAATAAAGAACAGATGCTAGTAACGCACACCCTATCTGGGTTCCTACCCAGGTTACCAGGGTCACTCTTCATCCACCGACCGCGTTTTCCGCGCTCTTCCGCTCCGAAACTCGCTCACTCGTCCGCGGTCGGCTGAGTCCGCTGCCTCCCACCACCAGGGAATTGTAGAAGATGTCGCCACTAGCCACCTGACACCCCAGGGCCCGCTGGTACCCACAGGCAGCCCCCCAAAAAATCCGCCGACCCCGCCGTAGCAAGGGGGAGCGCGCCAGAGATTACGGGTAGCTGTTTGGGGTTTGGGGGACCTCTGGCGACAGTTCGGTTCCGGAAGCGAGACAAATGGAAACAAACATCTTTTTTGTAGGGATTCAGAGGCGGCGTTTGGCATCGAAAGTGCAACCAGAGGAGCGAGACAAATGGAAACAAACTTCTTTTTTGTAGGGATTCAGAGGCGGCGTTTGGCAGCGAAAGTGCAACCAGAGGAGGCTCGTTTTGGACCAGAATTAGATTGGGGAAAGCTGTGGCGGGGTCAGGTGTTCGGGGAGTTAGAAGCGGCGTTTGGTAGCGAGAGTACCCTCTAAATGAAGGTTGATGCTGGCGTGACCAGGTATTCGTGGCGGGCCAGGTGTTCGTGGCGGGCCAGGTGTTTGGAGTTTGGAGCTAGGATGAGCGAGACAATGAGCGAGACAAATGGAAACAAACTTCTTTTTTGTAGGGATTCAGAGGCGGCGTTTGGCATCGAAAGTGCAACCAGAGGAGGCTCGTTTTGGACCAGAATTAGATTGGGGAAAGCTGTGGCGGGGTCAGGTGTTCGGGGAGTTAGAAGCGGCGTTTGGTAGCGAGAGTACCCTCTAAATGAAGGTTGATGCTGGCGTGACCAGGTGTTCGTGGCGGGCCAGGTGTTCGTGGCGGGCTAGGTGTTTGGAGTTTGGAGCTAGGATGAGCGAGACAATGAGCGAGACAAATGGAAACAAACATTTTTTTTGTAGGGATTCAGAGGCGGCCAACAGGCTACACCTCCTCGCCGTAGGGTTCGGGCCAAGGGGTCCTAGAGATCTTCCTTGAACCTTTTGGTGCACCCATTTGCCCTTGGATCACTTAGCTCTTGTCAGGTGAGGAGTACTGTGAACAGTACAAACCTCCTCGATTTTGGAGTGTGATCGCTTGTGCTGGGTAGGTGGAGCCTATTACACGGAAGCGATTCTACGGGGTATGTCTGGGCATGAAAGGTGACAGCCCTGCCTTGGCAAAAATTGGCCGACTTACAAGAACTTTCCAGAATCTTGGGAGCCCGGCAGGTATGTGCCCCTATTGCTTGGGGGGAACGCCTGATCATCCTTGGGAAGATGTTTCACCAAATGCAGCCTGGAGGCGAACACTTTTCAAATTGGAGCCATGGCGTCATGACGCGCTGTCGTCATTGCGAGCTGTCTGCTGTGATCAAATGAGAGCTGCCAACTTTTACAAGGGCGACCCATTCCATATCTGGAAATATGGAATTGGTAGACACTTTGTGGGTTCATGCCTCGTTACTTTGGCTCAATGGGGATTCTGGCCAGGCCGTGAACAAGGCTTTGACGATCTGATGCACCGTGCCTATGCTGACTTCAAGTGGTCCTGCAAACATGAAATGCGAGCGACCCCGCACCTTAAAAGCTTTACTCGTCAACTTCTACACTTTGCAAACAATGCTGCATTCCCGTGGTTTGGTTGCAAGGGTGGGGACACTATGCTGCTTGCGCGTTGGCTTCTTCGAGTTCTTAGGCATGGTGTGAAACTAGTTTTCGGTACTCTGCAGCAGTGGCCGGGGTCGGCGGCAGGGGCGGCAGCCCTTAAATCCGGGCGCCGGCCAGGACGCCCGTGGCATGCCCGGAGGGCCTTCGGTGGTAACCGAAGGTTATAGACGGTCGCGCCGGCTGCCGCCGACCCTCGGTCCCAAAACGGGCGGACCCCGTCGTCACTACCGGGTCACTGATATCAACGTAATTTACAGGGTTTTGTGCGCGTGATGTTCAAAAACCTCGCGTTTTACCGGGTTCGGGGCCCCTCGGCGGCCGAGAATTTCACCTTGGCGATGTTAAAAAACGTAGGTTTTTCCAGTGTTTTTGCTTTGCGGGAAGGATAAATCGGAAAAAGTTGTGTCGCAAGACTTTTTCCACATAAATTGCCTAACATATCCCCAACATAGGCCCAAGATAGCCAACATATCCCCAACATATGCCCAACATAGCCTCCAAGATGTCTCAACATAGGGCCAACAGAGGCCAACATGGGGCCAACATAGGCCCAACATAGGCCTAACATAGGCCAACATAGGCCCAACATAGGCTCAACATGGGCCCAAGATGTGCTCAACACAGACCACAGGGGCCCAACTTGTCCCAACCAAGGGCCAAGATGCTGGGGTTTTAGTTGCAACGGCTCTCCCGACTTTCGGCTTCTGCACAGAGAAGCCAGGGCAGTCAGCCTCCTCCAAATTGGAGGATGCTACTGGGATGCCCCATGTCCCTCGGACGGGTGCTGCCGGGGTGCCCCAAGCCCCGGCCCCCGTCTTCTCCATGGAAGACTCCGCGGAAACCTGGCGGGTCCCTTCCCGACACCACACCTCGCCCGCGCCTACCGTCACCTCGACCCACCCCTCTCTTACCCTACTTGGCCGGCGCCCGGCTGTCAGGCGTAAGCCTTTAAATAAAATCGTAAAATGGGGGTTCTGGGAGTTCTGGTTCATCAATCACCTCGTTGAATTGTCTTGGCTCTTGAAAATTTGTGTTGAGCCTTTTTCGTTTTTTCTGGGGTCTTGTTATGCGTGTTTTAGGGTCATAACTTTCACTATCATTGCTATAATTCAACGAAGTGGATGATTGTTTAGGCCGCCGTGTTTTGTTTTGTGGTTGTTTTTTGGGGTTTGGGATTTATATTCCCATAATGCCAGTTTCATCATCCTCTCCATTTCTTATAATTTTTGGCTGTCCTTTTACCCACGCGTGTCTAGATACTATGTAACCACATAAACAGTCAGAGTGACACCGTATGGGTTTGCTTGTGGGGTCTCTTTGCCACCGATGCTCCCCGATACAGTGCCACCCCGACTGAAAAAGATTTACTCCAACCATCTCGTTTATATATATATATATATATATACGTATAAAATCAAACTAAAACGATTTAAAAAAATCTTGGGTAGGTAGTGAGTGTGGGGGGTCGCGTTTGGAAATCCGCTTCCCCACCATCACTCACTCCTCCCTTCTTCTCTTCTTCGTCCTTTTTGTTTGAATAAATAGAAAAGAAAAAACGCAACGCCGACGCCCACGCATCCCCCGACCCCCCTGAAGTGGATGAAGACCTCCCTTCTGACCAAGCAGGACGAACGATAGAACAATAGATAGATAGAGAGATAGATGTATATAGGTCAATCCAATCTACGATATATTTAGTGAATTTAGTGGAGGTGTTTGCCAAATGTCAGGCTTTGAGAGGTTGCTTGGATAAGCCACTTCTTCCACTGTTCAAGTGTCAAACTCTGGAGTTTCTTAGGGTAAGCCACTCTCTCCCAGTTCTGGTTTATATAGAAGTCAAACTCTGAAGTTTCCCGTCTCTCGATACTTGGTTCTAGGTATCATTGATACTTGGATACTGGTATCGGGGTATCATTGATACTTGGTTCTGGGTATCATTGATACTTGGATACTGGTATCGGGGTATCATTGATACTTGGTTCTGGGTATCGTTGATACTTGGATACTGGTATCGGGTATCATTGATACTTGGTTCTGGGTATCATTGATACTTGGATACTGGTATCGGGGTATCATTGATACTTGGTTCTGGGTATCATTGATACTTGGATACTGGTATCGGGGTGTCATTGATACTTGGTTCTGGGTATCATTGATACTTGGATACTGGTATCGGGGTATCATTGATACTTGGTTCTGGGTATCATTGATACTTGGATACTGGTATCGGGGTATCATTGATACTTGGTTCTGGGTATCGTTGATACTTGGATTCTGGTATCGGGGTATCATTGATGCTTGGTTCTGGGTATCGTTGATACTTGGATTTTTGTTTCGTTGATACTAGGTTGTGGGTATCGTTGATACTTGGATATTTGTATCTGGGTATCATTGATACTAGGTTGTGGGTATCGTTGATAGTTAGATACTGGTATCTGGGTATCATTGATACTAGGGTTGGGTATCTGCGGTTTTGCATGCAATGTGTGAAAATTGCTCTTGGATGACCCACCCACAAAACAGGCGCCACAGTTCTTTGCACTGGCGAAGCTCACATGTATCCTGCATCCCTCAACTCCGGCTCATCCTCTTGAAAGAGCTTGGCGACGAAATGCCAATGCTTCAAAGCCACACTTAAATTGGTTGTACTCCTCAGGACGCAGTCTGCGGGCTCCTCACAAAGAAGCTTCAACGTCATGTTGGTCTCCTCACTGCTCTCTGGGAGATGCCCCATGGGTCCTGCCTCTGCCACCTTGGGGAGATTGTCCTTCACTTCCGGGTCATCCAATTTCTTCTCAATTGGTTTCACTCTCCGCTCGTACCACTGCTCAACCTGCTTGATGACCGCATCAGTGCCTCTCTGACGTGCCCTGGAGACGTTTTCCAGTATCAAATCCAAGTCGCGGAAGTTGCCCCCTGTGCGGATGTAGTAGTGCTTCAACACCTCCTCGATGTCCTCGTCGGCAAGAACCTTGTTCAGCGTCTGGAAGTCGTTTCCGTGCTTTGCCACCTCATTGACAACAGATACGAAGTCTTCGAAAGGCAGCGGTCGCACCACCACCAGCCTTGACATGTTAAACCGTTCTATGATGATGTCCACAACCGCAGACACGCTGACCTCCACAATGAACTTGCACGCGGCATTGTCGTAGGTGATGTTGCGAGCGAAGGCACCGAGGGTGGAAGCAATGTCATCACAGGCATCCCTACTAAATTTGTCTCCCCGGCTTTTGGTTGTGAGTTGCAGGTACACCACGACAGCACTGCCTGTTCGACGTCTCATTCACCTTTTCCAACAAAAATTTGACACTTGACGGGTAATATCGGGGCAAATATATGGCTTGTAGGGCTCGGGCAGCACCTCGTTGAGCTTCAAGTCCCTCACCAGGACGAACAGAAATATCAAGAGGAAGCACCCTTTTGCCATTCTTCACATGCTCACACATGAGATTGCTCAGCATGGTTGATTTCCCAATGCCTTGGGAACCACTGACCACCAAGAATGAAGGTGTGTTCAAATCTTTACGTTGAGGTGAGTTGATGAAGTCCTTGATGTATTCCTCCTCGAGCGGCCGTGCAGGGGCGGGCTCTGTCCTATCCAGCCTTTGCCCAGCCTTCCTCACTGCCCTGTTCATGAAAGAAGCCAGGAAGGAACCTTTGAATGAGAGCTTGGAGAACCAGCACTACGACGCCCCCTGTGCTCAAGAAAGTCCAACCAGTTTTAGCGGTCTGCGCCGGAAAAGCCCTTGCAGGCTGCGTTCGTGCATGACCGCTTGGAAGGACGAACCGCCCAAGCTGAACCTGCCTCACAAAGATGCATCTGCGGAATGTCAAAGAAAAAGGACAATACATCGTTTCAGTCAATTTGTACCAAACTGGCTTTGGATTGAAGGATGCTTGATATGCAAAACCAAACAGGAACCACAGCGCCTACAGTAACCTCAATCAATACATGAATTTGAAGCAAATAATTCGACATCTTTGAAGAACAGCTTGGTAGAATTTGACCCTGAACCTACACATAGAAACTCTGACCACCTCAACAATTATCCCCTTCATTCAATCCAAACAATGAAGTGAAAGTTATGACCCTAAAACACGCATAACAAGACCCCAGAAAAACGACAAAGGCTCAACAAAAATGTTCAAGAGCCAAGAAAATTCAACGAGGTGATTGATGAACCAGAACTCCCCAGAACCCCCATTTTACCATTTTGGTTCCCCCTGTGCCCACATCCATGGCACCTACTACGTGCCCACATCGCCGACCTGACCTTCGTTTGCGGCCAGAAGCGAAGAATGCGGCCGCACGAGATTCTTGGACCGAAGTCGAAAGCAAAGAAAAACCACAGGGGTCTATCATATCCAACACTTGAAGAAAGAGACTATAAGAAACCTAATAGCGATGGCCTCCAACCTATTAGCGATGGCCTCCAACCTGTGTTATGGAATGCGGACAGCTGAGCCTTTTTGGAGGAAACACTTTGGAAAGACCCTTGGGTTCGGAATGTTTCCGTTCAGGGTCAGCTGTCAAACCATTTGATCCTCGACCGGACGTCCGGCGTCGTAGCTGCACACCCAGTGGCACCTCGTAGCTGCAGCCGCTGGGATACGCCGCAGAGCTCAGCGCAGTGTTCCTGGGAGGATGGGATTGTGAGAGCCAAGAAGGGCAAAGAAGGCTATAGCAGGTACGAAGGAACCAAGACCGGGGGGGTTCACTTGTCTGCCCCAATGGGCGGGGAGGGATCCTGATTCTAAAAGCAGTTCAGCTTGGACGTTGGGCCTTCATTGAATGAGCGAAAAAGAGACATATGTAATTATGTAATGCTCCGTATCCAGATCTCAGCTCCCCCCCATTTCAGGTCCATTCCTGCTGAGGCCATCGGCTTCCATCAGAGCCGATGGGTAGGGATGGCAACAAAGTGCCAAAGGTTTGGGGACAAATCCACCGCTGCACCCTCACACCCAAGATGAAAAGGAACAAAAGCCCTCCTGTGTCTTCTCACAGAATCTCTGATCTTATGATGCCCAAAAGACAGGTGTCGGTTCCGCCATGTCTTTTGGGGACCCTGGGGAGACCAAGGTCCATCCCACGGACCGGTCACCACGGACCGAGGTGCCAGGTCCCTTGTCCCTCCGTGGCGGCCGTTTGGCAGTCGGCCGAGGAGGTGATGTCCTTGGGACAAGGAGTTGGCAGACGCCCCAAAAGAGGGAGAAGAGGCTCCAGTTTGGAGAGGTGTTTTTTGAGACCTGACCAGGAACCCTTTCTTTTGGTGGTACATGGGATGGACGAAGAAGAGCTGCTCAACCTCTCTAGGTTCTGGAAGCATGTCATGTCGTCCTGCAGTCCGCGAGAAGCACGAACGGATGAACGGAAAAAGGTCCGTTGGTAAAACATTGGAAAAACCGATGTTCACCTCGGGTCGGAGCGCAGATTGATTGTCCCATAGCCTCGCCCAACCAAATTGCTTGTGCCCCTGCATTCTACTCAGGCTCCAACCATCTTCTTTGTTTGAGAGAGTTGACCCTTAGACAAACGCCTGTCCCCTCAACTCACTCAGTTCGCATCAATGGTCTTAACCCCCCCAGCTGGAATTCAAGGGCCTGGAGAGGCTGGGACTACAGGGGGCTACTTGCGGCTGTGACCGATACGCCTCAACCTTGGAGTTTTTTAAGCCTGCCGCCATGCACTGAAGGATGAGACTTGATAGGGACCATGTGGCCAAGTTGGAGCAACAACAAGCAGCTCCAAAAGGGGTGCCTCTTGCCACACACCTGTGGGTCTAAGATCCACCCCTTTCGAACTCCTTACTGAGAAAATCAAGAGAATTGGGGTTCCAAATGACAAACAAGAAATCTATACCAGGACCTTCCCGGAGGTTTCTATAGATAGCTTTAAAGATAGCTTTAAACACCTCTTAGATGTTCAGGGGTGTCCAAATAACCACCTGTTGGAAGGTCCTGGTAGACAGTATGCACTGTACACTCAAATCCTCCTCCTCCTGAGAACGACTCCTGTCATTGCTAGCTCCTCTTCACTCCAAGCTTCATTGAAACCTGCCGAGCACGTCGATCCACCACCTGTCAGCTTCTCATAGAGGTAATCCTGCGCAACAGCCTGCGAGTTCGCAAGCGAAAGGATGAACAATAGCCGCAACGATCGATCTCAAAAAAAGCGGACCTTCCTCACACCACTTCGCCACACACCACTGCGCCAGCCGATTTCGCGCATCTCCGTGGGCCTGCAGTACTGCACTCCAGAAGAGCAGCAGCTGCATGGGTGTTTTACCTCTCCTGGAGACAGAACACACTCAGCTCCTAGTCGGAAGCTCGGCATTCAGGACTCTCCTCAGAATTCGAAGCGAATTCGGGGGGGCTCCGCAGCTCCTCCATGTGGAACAGAAGCTCGGACGTCATGTGTTCGCCGTCCGAACTACCAAGCCGCAAGGCACTCCGTGGGCAGCTGCGTTGGTCACTTCTGCCCTCTTCCAGGAGTAGCCCTCCTTTGTGGCCCTGCACTGCTTGTCATGTAAAGAAGAGCAAACTTTGGACCAAAACCGGACAAGATCATGGATTGAAGGAATCTTTGCTTGCATCTTCTTGGCTCGTACAGTAGCTATTTCCACGTGGCGGAAACTCTATGGAGTCTGGCCTATCACTCACTCTCGTCTCCTTGCAATCTCGCTTCGGTTAATCTCTCGGGCCGAAGGCCGGCGGGTTCGACTCGCAGCCGGGCCGTCCCAGCAGGGACCGCGGCGGGCTCCGCAGCTGAAACACCGGAGGCATCGGTCGCCGTACCCCGACCCCGACCCTGAAGTCTCAAATCCTCTGGAGGGGTCCCATAGAGTCTCAAGTCCTTAGGTTTTCAAAGACCAAGGGCTGTGAGCGGATCCTCTGGGTAGACAACAAAGAAATATCTTTTCCGAAATCTTTCGGAGTGCGCTCACCCACCCCAAGAATCGTTGATTTGTTTCATGTGAACAGCACAACCCACAGGGGTTACCACTCCCAAGTTGACCAGATTTCAGGCATTGAAACGGAAACGACTCCCGAGTCGCCCATGGCCCCCCTCCCTCGGACCCAACCAGGGCCAACGGAGCGCGGGAATCGGACCCGTCGAACGGCAACACCCGGCGGGGCGTCGGCCAAGACCTGCGGAGTTCTCAGAGGTACCTGAGGAGCGCGTTCGGATCGGCCTGAAGTGGTGCCTACAAAAGGGTACCGATGGGTACCGGGTAGCCGTGAAGTGGTGCCTACAAGAGGCTGTAGCAACAGATGGCCGTCGACCAAAGCTTTCAGAGTTCCCAAGTTGCTGTTAGCCTGACCCCGTGCACAGCTGACGCAGATTTCAAGTTCTAGAGGCTGATTTGGGCAAGCACACTTGCAGCTTTAGCCTGATTCCTGTGATGTCAGAAGTGTTTGAACATGTTTGAACTGAATGCAAACCCTTCAGTCAGCCATTCCTGTTGGGGATGCAAAAGTCCCTGCTTGAAGTAAAACTGCAATCAATCACTTGGGGCTTCAGAATCTTGCGTCATCACCGATGGCTTCAGCAGTGTACCCCTCCTCTCACTCTGGGTGCCCCCGCAAACCACGCAGCTGCGCTCGGGAACCTCGTCATCCTTCCAAACCTGCGAAGAGTCTTCGCAGGTGTCCAAATCGGATGGAACTCATAACTGTCCATTCGAGATCAACAGGAGCAGAGGCCAAGTTGGATTTGTGGTCTAAAAGGCAATCCGGATGGTTGGTGTCCCTTCTCTGTGACCTTTCAATTTCATCTTCCATGACACTAGAATCTATAGAACTTAGAGGAGATCGTCCTCTCCAGTCTTTTTGGGGCTTTCAGCTGGTGCAATTGTGTTTGAAGGCATAACTCCTTGTGGGCTCCGTCGTCTTGCCAAACTGTCTGTCTGCCTCGAAGGACAACATCACCACCGGCTCAAAGCATCCATGGCGCGTCGACCACAGCCCGGTCGTCCACTCGCCATGCGCCCGCACTGTGACGGAGAGGGACGTAAACCCATCCCGGGATGGTGGGCTCATCCAGCTGGGGAGGTGGGGGGGAAAGGGGTCTGTTTGGATCGAATTTGAAGGTGCTTTATGAAGCCTGGCCCATGTGGGCATCCTAGGACTCCGACCACAGGACCGGTGTGGACGTGTGAAAGGGACCTCTTGGAAGTTGTGGAGCTGGTGGGCATGGCAGGGGTTCTGGAGGTTGTGAGAGATCAACTCATTGAATCTGAAAAAGTCCCGTTCTTGCGCAGTATGTGGCTGGTCCTATATCCTTTTGACACTCCGCATCAACTGCCGGTGCTACGATCTGACCACTGCCGAAAGGAGGACTGCGACGGGAGAGGCCAGGTGCATAGGTTGCTGATGCCAAGCGTGTTTCCAACATCTCTGTTTTCCCTCTACGACTTGGAGACCCTCTACGACTGATATCTATGGGATAGGCCAAAAAGGGCTATAGCTTCCTCCTGAGACGCGACCCCACGGCCCTGTGGTTCTGTTGGCGAAACCACCACTCTTTGAGGCCAAACCACCGACATCGACACCGACATCTGCCGCTGTTCTTTCTCGAGTTCCTTCGGTCGCACGCCTGCCACGAGGCCAGTGGTCCGAACGGATCCGTTGTGACGAAACCTCCTTCAGGCCGAAAAGAGTCCTGGAAATGGACCAATGTCATGTCGACCAGTTCTTCTGTCAACACGCCAAAAAAAATAAACATATATCACACCCCAAAATCCTGAGCGAGAATCAAGCAAGACATTGCCCTTTTTGCGTTTCAGCTTTGTCCAAAACCCACTGAATTCAAGCTGTTACTTTAACTGCAACCTGCTGCCAAAATAAGTTGGATGCGACTCGATGCAAGTCATTCACCCGTTAGAACTTGAGCCCGCAAGAGTTAACTCGGTGCAAGTCTGCTTGCCTGTGGCTGAAAACACAACTCGGGACGGCGTGCAACTTATGTCTCCATGTCCTGGAGTTGAACCCGGTCGACAAATTGTCCAGTTGGATTGCTGCCAAAGTATGAACATAACATGATAATACAGCATCACTAGATTGGATACTGAGTTGTTTTTGGTATGTCACCGCTGCGCTCTCAATTACATGCTTTGGAATAGCCCCTGGGGGCCCCTGGACAGACTCCTGCAATTTAAAGATAACGTTTAGAGGGCTTGCACGGGGCATCTCGCTTGTGCGACCACCTTCCAGCCTCTCTGCTCTTCCTCAGAACTGCGATCAGCAAGAGAAGCTCCTGTGCACAGCAACACCCGCTCGCTCTGGCGGCCACGTGCTCGTCATTTCGCCTTTAGAATCTTCATCAAGCTCACAATAAAAACATGTCTTCAAAGAATATCAATAGCAGCAAAAGGAATGAAAAGGGTCTTCACCTCCGTCGCCACATCCATCGCACACCTTTCGGACATGTCCACCGGTCGTGTTCTGCCGTCTTCACCCCCGTCTCCTCAGGCATGTCGGGGGCGTTTCTTCACACGCCCCGTGACCAGGCCACCCTGGCGGAAAGAGGCGCGGACCGCGCGAGGCGGCCCCCCCAGGTCCGAAGAGTCTCTCAGAGGTGGCTCCCTTTTGAGCAGAGCGTAGGGCCAAGTACAAGGAGCCCTGACCCCTCCATGTTGAAAGTCCATGGACCATGGACAAAGGGGATGTAGTTTCCATGTTGCTCCATGTAGTTTCCATCTAGTTTCTGGGAACCTCCAACTGAATAGCTTCCAAAAAGGACCTCAAGTCCTCCAAAACTTGCAGTACTCTCCATCCAAGCGCTTTGTACTAAGGCGTGAAGAGGAACAACCGCACCACCGGCACATGGGACATACAAACAGCTCCAGCCAGTGATTTGATCCCTGCTGCAGCGTGCTTTCTTGGCTCAGCCAGGACCGGCATGCCCGGCATGTCCACCGCACGTGCCACCGGTCGCGCGTGCCACGGGACCCGGTCCAAGCCCTGGAAATGGATGACGAACCAACCACGTGGAGCTGAACATAGAACAGGAAACACCGAAAACACTGGGTACTGCCAAACAAGTCTGGCCCAAATACGCATAGTTAAGACTTATAGACTTATAGAGCTGATCCCAGTTCCATCTCTTCAAAGCCCCTTTGGTACGCACCCTTCCGTAGAAACCAAGAAAACCAGTGAGATGAGTGATGAAGAACAAGAAGGTTACCTATGTTCTCACTGACCTCTGCGAGATCTTCAGAGAGCTCGGCTTTGAGACTGTACACCGAGCTGCTTGTCGACGGCTAAAAGAAACCCGCCTCGTCTTCACCTGCAGAGGTGAGAGCTGCGCCCAGCCGTAGAAGCTGGGCGGAACGTTTGGAGGAGCGCCTTCAGCAGGGCTACCCCAAGGGAATTAGAGGTTAAGGTCTTTTAGTAACCACCCCTGTGGGTCGTGGTAGATTGGTCCAACGTTCCTTTTTCGCCGCGCTGCAGGTGGAACAACCCCCCTGAGGTTCGATTTGACACGACCAGTACCACCATGCTAGGACAACTCTGGCGGCGTCGGACGAGCAAAAAGAAATATGTTCAAAAAAAAGTAGACGTCAGATCTGACTAAGCTATCCTCCTGCAAAGCTGCAAAGACAATTGTTATATATTGTAAGTCAAGGAAGTGAATCTGGATCTAGACTTTCAACAAATATAGAACAACCCTCCAAGTACAGTAATAGAAGTGAAGATGCCACCAATTCACCGACCCCTTCTTTGACGAAGCCCTTTCATTTTGTGGTCATCACTCATCCAGGAATCTCAAAAACCCATCTATTGTGACAGCAAACGTACCCTCCTTCCATGATCTTGCATGATCTTGCATGTACCTCTAAAAGGACGCTACTAGGATCTCCTGGCATCGCTACTAGGAGCAAGGAAGCTACGTTCGGGGCTCGCTACGTTCGGGGCTCCTCACCGAGCTCCTTCGCCCCTGAGCCGCCCTCACCATCTCCACTCCATCGGATCATCTCTCCAGACGCTGCCTAGGTGCTTTTCGGTTTGGAGACTAAGACAAACCCGCCGACTGCGTTCGTTTCATCTCAGGGGCGACGTTCCAAAAAAGGGACCGGCGTTCACGAGGTTTCATCTCCACTTACATCAAGCCGTGCAAAGGATTTCCTCGTAACGTGGTAAATGACTTCTGGCTTTGGTGAACCTTTGAAAATAAGTCCTAGTTTTGGCCTGTCGAGGATGTTCACCTGTGCATCGAATCTCTCGAGAATAGCTTCCCTCGATCCTTCACTCCCCTCGACCATTGGAAGACTGAGAATCTCTAGGACTTTCTGCCCATGGAGGGATTTTGGGGCTTGGGACGCGGACTGAGCTCCAACCTGGTAGATCTACCAAACACGATGCTTTTTCTAGCCTTGAACACACGATCCTTCCCTCACTTCCATGCTGTTGGGGACCCCAGCACGTCCCAGGCATGGCGCGTAAACATAGCGCCGGGAACCGTCCTGGCAACCGAGCCAGACCGAGCCAGGCAGCTCTACGAAACGGAGCAAGAACGCTACGAACGGGGCTCCTGGCATCGCTCTTAGGGGCTCCTGGCCGTACTACCGAAGGACTCTCCGAAAAGGGGCTGTTCCGAGAGCAAGTGCTCTCGCGACCTCCCAGCAAGCACCAGCCACCTTCGCCCTCACCAGCCTTCATCCCCTCCCCTCTCCGTAAGATGTCCTGCGCAGGCACGGCTAAAGCCTCCACGCCGGGCATGCTGTCACACCGCGGGGGGTCATCGGCGGAGGGCGATCGCCGAAATGGAAAAAAGGAACAGGGTCGTTCGAAACTGGGCACTGGAAGGACTCTCTTGGACGAGGTGATTCTTCTGCCCACTGTTGCTATTTCAATCCTCAGAATGGATTTACATCTCCATATGCGGGGGTGATTCATCAACTGTCAACATAACAAGACCAGGTGTGGGGTGGCCCATCAGTGTTTTTTTCCTGGGAAGCCTTGCAAGCAAAGGACATCTCTTAGTCTTTGGAGACTTTTGGAGCGGAACCTTCCAAGGGTGCTCTCCATCCATGACCATGAGACGCTCCGCACGTCCCAACACATCCAAGCCCCAAATAAAGAGAGCCTAGAGAGCTCTCAGAGCATCGTACATCCGACAAGGATCCTCCAAACATGGAGGCCTTACAAAAAACACACAATGTGTGGGATCCAAGTACCTTCCCATCATCGCTATTTGGGTTGGAGTCGGAGGCAATCTGCAAAACTCGTCTTCACAGGGCTGCCAAACCTCCACCCTCTGTGGAACTGGGGCCCGTCACCAGTAGCGCATCTCTGAGCTGCGCTAATGTGCACCCGCCCGCGGGCCTCGATGGGACTCGCCCGAAGGAACAGCCCTGCAAATCGCTGTTGACAGTCGATCTCTGATTCAAATTTTGAACTTGAAAAAGACATCAAACATGACATGACCAAATCTCAGGTGTTGTCCAACCTGCCCATTTTTCCACATGCTTAAACGACCCTAAAAATGGAGCAGACGCTTCTGTCTGCTGGCCCAGTCTGGGCATCCCTGCAGGCGCTCGAAGATCTCCCGGCCGGTGAGGCCAGTCTTCTCGGCCTGGAAAAGGGGTGGAGGCCCCACCGAGTCTACTCCGCAGAGAACCCAAAACCACTGGGGTTGTAGAAACTGGTCGAAACTACTCTTTCTTCTCAGGTTCCATGTGGTCCGTTTGCGGGAGAGTAGAAATCAGATGAAATCAGAACCTTCATTTCGGGGTGCAAAAAAATGGAGATCCACAAGTAGTGCAGAGTAGTCCGGTGGGCACCCCTTGAAGGCTTTTCCAAGCCTCCCGAACCACATCTCATTGAAGTCGCTAGGATCACGCCCCCCCCAGAATAAAGAAGACAACACCAACAACAACTCCGCGCCGCTCTCAAGGCATTTTCCACCAAGCTCAGGACCTGGACACGCTCGGAGCGTGGCGGGCAACGGAGGGGAACGGAGGGGGGCAGGACTTCAGCAGAGCGGTTTTGGGGGAATGGTGTTTATGGGCCATGTTCTTCGCGTTTTTATATGACTTTATGACCTCTGATGGCAAAGCAGATGCCCAAACTCTTGGTATTTTCAACTCTTGGGACGGTGTTGTCCCACACAGCTGTGGGATGTCCAGACCAATCCATCGACGTGTTGCATGTGAACCACTCTTTGCTGGCGTCATCTGCTGTGAACTGCCACTGAATGTTCTGAGATGCTACGCAGCGACGCTTAGATGGATCAGCACAACACACTTGTACGTTCGTCAAACTCTAGGAAACAAAATCAACCACGGTTGAATCCGGGTTGAACTTTGCCCCTTGGTTTCGAAGACAAACCATGAAATATGAAACCTGAGCCATGGTCTTGGGGAACAGGCGGTCATGCTTTCCGAACCGAGCCCGCTGAATGCGCAACAGTAGAAACCTCCAACATGACGAAGAACCACTGGCCACCCTGGCCGCTTTGGCCGTCTGCACGGACCCTTCTTTTTGTGCGCAAGCCTCCATGGAGTGGGCACACAAAAGTGTGATTGCAGATCAGATCGGCCATTCTCGTCCCTTCCTCCTGTGCGCCCCCTTCCCGGTTCAGCGCCTCCTCGAAGGACGTCTGCTTGGCTGAAGCGGTGCCCGTCGTCGTCTTTGGCGCCTCGGGTTTTGGGCGGCCGTCTTCGCAGTCGTGGCAGTGATGAAGTGGGGGACATCGGTGCCGCTTCAAATTGAGACTCGTGAAGCTTGAACCTTGGAGGGCCAAAAGAGAAGCTTTCACGGGACCTCTGGCCCAAGCATCGAACCAACTAGAGTCTAGAGAACTGTGTGTATGTCCACAAAGTGCTGCGCCTGCCACTAAAGCTGCAGTTCGGGGTTCACAAAGTGCTGCGCCTGCCATGAAATCTGAACTTGGCCGTCCACAATGCACTGCGCCTGCTGCGAAATCTGCACATCATGATTCACATCGTGCTGCCAGCGCGCTTCGCAACAAAAGCACTTCCAAAGGCAAGTTTGAGATCTAAACTGAAGCTGTCACGTGATACCTCCCAACTTCCGAAAACAAGCCACATGTCCGTTCCCAATTCACTGCAACGGCCACAAAATGTGCACATCTTTCGGACCAAACACGAGGATTCCCAGGCTCGCCTGCCACGAAACGAAACCACCAAGTCCGAACATGTGCACCCGCTCAGGACCACAGGACCACCAGGCACTGCGCTTGCGCCTGCGCAGTCAAAGGGTCATCAAATTACCCGCGTAAGAACCCCAAGTGTGACCACACTAGAGAAAAACGACCTCTCCCTGTCACCAAGGTGCACTGCTTCGCGTCGTGACGCGATGCCCATCGTTGGGCTGAATGATCCTCAGCCGTTTCGCAAACCCAGAACTTCCGTTTGGACTCACTTGGGCGTTTGGACTCAAGAAAAGGGAGACCCCCGGACAGGACAACCCTGAAAGGTCCGGAAAAGGTCCCAAAAATTGGACCATCGAAGGCCATCAAATGCCAGTCTCCCAGATTGAAACATACACACCCATTTGGATCCCGGTCGTCCGGAGCCAAGTACTTGTTCGGAGGTCCGCGTCCAAGGCTCGCGTTCTTGGACTGGCCGATCCCCAGGAAAGGCAGGGAAGCATAGACTTTGCTTCAAAACGTATAGGAGAATGTTGAAAACTTGGGGTTGTTCCATATTCCCATCCATAAATGCCAGAGATCTGGGGGGCTCAACACCTCCTAAGCCCAAGATACATAACTTAACCTGCAACTGGATGAATTGGCTCACGTTGTCAAGTCCTGAATTTTGTTCTCCGCTCCTTACCTCGGCCGGTGCTCGGGCTCCCTGGCTCTTCTTCGTGTCTACTCCGGCTGCCGGACGCCAACGCATTGTCCTCGCCGCTCGGACCCGCTCGGACCCGCTCGGACCGCTCGGCGATCCGAAGGACACGAGGGAAGCACCGTCACGCAGCTTGAAGAACCGGAGAAGACTTGAAATCAGCCACGCCTGGGGGGTTCAGACGTCGTGCCACAAAGACTTCCCCCCAAGATTCTGCGGCTTGAAAGTCAAAGACCTGATACAGCCAAATCCCCCTTACTCACCAAGACTAGATTGCTCGGGGCTCCCGAAACGGCGGCGTGGAAGGACCCGATTTCGGGCGGGCCCTTCTCACGCCAAAGTGATCCGGGGACCAGGGTACCCCAAGTCTCCAAAACCCTAGCGCTCCAACTACCTCCTGAGAAGCTGGTTGGGGTGGATTGCCGTGGTCTAACCACCTCCTGAGGAGGCGGTTGGGGGAAAGAAAAAGTCGCAGCCGGCAGCCTTGGCGTTTTTCCGGGAAGTCCAGTCGACTTGGAGACCCGAAGTTCAGACTAGCCTTAGGATTCATGGCCCATGAATTTCATAGCTTGAATCCGGAAGAACCATTGTATTTTACACTAACACCAGGTCAACCTGGTCAACCTTTCTTTGAAATGGTACAGAAGGCCAACAGCATTCGGGTCTCACCAGATCCCTCTTCCTTTCTTCCACCCTCTTCAGCTCCCCCCAGCACCCGCTTCGGTGACAACCTTTCGACCCTTCAAAAACTTCTGTGAAAACGTCTCGTTTGGGTCGAGCATCCTGAGAAAATCAGCTTCAAGTTTGTCAAGAGACTCCCTGAAAAGGAAGAGCATTTTTACGTGGATGGCATGTCCCCGGAAGAACCATTTTCCCACGATGCAGGAGCGGTTTTTTTCGGCGCGTTGAGTCGGCGGCGGCTGGGGGTGGCAGGCCGACCGCCACCTCCCCCCACCGCACCTGGCTCCTTTGTTGCAAGAGGCTCCGATACCCTGAGTCCTTGGGGCAACCGAGCGGAGTCCATCGACCCGAGCGAGGTGGCGGTCACCGAGCAGTCGTGTTTGGCGGTCAATCTTCAGATGTGCCCTGAAGTCGTTTTGGAAAAAAGAAACAAAGAGCAATCAGACATGAATCTGCATGAATTGAAGAAGTAAAGCCACGTGTCACTCACGCCCTTCCCCATCTGGCGAAGTTTGGCTTCAAAAAAGCTGTTCGACCTGGTTCAACCAGTTTCAACTCGTCCAGAGACCTTCAGTTTCCCAAAAACTCTAGGAACCAAATCATTAGTGCAAGCACTTCTTCAACGAAGCTTCCCCCACCGCCCTAAGGGGGAGCTTTCTTGAAGAAGCGTGAAGTGAACTCTCCTGCGTCCAGTTACTAGTAGCTTCCTAGCTACTACTAGCTACCTCTAGCTACGAGTACTACCCACCTACCTCTACTCGCAGCCTCCCCCTCCTTCTATGCGAACCTGCGCCGTTCCGCGTCGAGACAACGTTTGGGCCTTGAGGTCCGGGATCACGTTGAGAGCCTCGACAATCGGCCCCTCAATGGGCACCTGCACAAAGGAAATGGCGCCCAGCGGGGTGATTTTATAAGACGAGAACCAGGAGTGCGAAGCTCAAAACGTGGCTGTGGGGAATCGGGCCATTTGTTGAGCTGCCGGTTTTTCATCTATTCTTTTTCATGTTCGGTGGGAAAGAAAAAAGGGTGTTCCCGGTTCCATGACCCAGGGTGTCCATATCAGAAGCTCTCCATAGGTGCTCACTCAAGCTACCTACATGCGACCTATTTTTCAGCCTGACAAGCATCAGAGTAGACCAATTCTGCAATGGGATCACTGACCAAACTTGACGAATCGGATCAGGGTATGCAGGAACCCTCCTGGTGAAGACAAGTTTGGCGAGCGAGTCCAGTCAGTGGAACGCAAGTGCGTCACCTTGTGCCAATGTAATTATATAGGAAGATTAGACTTGGTTCAAGATTTTGCATGGCTTGAGGAATCAAGAACTTACAGTAGTACGGAAAAGTCTTACTGGAAGGAAGCAGCAATGTGGGTGAAGCATTTAGATCAATGCTTGGATTTGAATCAATCTGCTCTGCCTCAGAGCCATCCAAAGGCTGCCAAAAGCTGAACAACTCTGGCGAATCCTGACACGGCTGTCCCCCGCGGCGAGCTGCAAGAGAGTTTTGGCTGGTCCGAAAAACACTGGCGTTGGGGTGATCGGAGTCCCGGCAGCCAGGTGAGATGTTAGGGAAAAGGATTGCCTTTTTCCAACATCCTGCAACACCCCAATCCTGCAACAGATCACACACAAATACCAGTCTTTGATGTCAGGAAAAGGACGAACTGTTCCTCCAAGTGCGTAATCATTAGGTGTTTAGTGAATCTCCCTATGTCCATCCCGCCAATGTTGATCATTGCTTCTGTGAGCCAGCGTGAACAATGGTGGGCTAGGTATATACACGTAGCATGTCTTCCATCCACAGAAGTAAGGAAGACTTGAACTCTTGAAACTTGCAACCATCGTTCTTCCACAAAGGCTTGAACTCTTGATCCTTATGATGGAAACCATCGTTCTCCCACAATCGACCCCCCACTCAAGGAACAGGCCACAATGCAACTGTCAGACTTTTGCTTGGTTTCCTCCCCTGACAGATTGATTGCTGGGTCCATCTGCGATGGGCAGAGCAGGATGGAGGTTGGCGTGGCTTCCTCTTCCTGATGTTGGGAAATTCTTCCATATCCACATGGCACATGAGCCGGCATGAGGCGCGAGACCTGATTTATCACGATCAAGCTTACAAGAGTTCAGAAAAGGATCGCTTTATCATGAGTCTCAATTGAATCAGAAAGGGATAAGAAGAAAAGGAAGAACATCTGAGGCATGGTTCACATAACCACACAATGCAAATAATTGTTGTTCACCCTCCATTACCAGAATCAAAGGAATCCAAGGAATCAGATCATGTGTCCCTATCTTGATGTCGAATCCTGTTACTACCTATATACACCCTGCAAGAGACCCACATGGAACCTGAAAAAAAAGAAAACACTGGCATCTACTAGAGAGGCACATCCTTTTCCAGTGCCATCTGCCAGTGCCATGCCATCAGTGAATCAGGTTCCATGGTCTCAAACACCAGGTGCTTTTCAAAGGCGCCGCGGGCACACCGAGACTCCCGGCACGTCTCTCCAGGCGAAAATGCTGCGTTCGGGCCCCGCGCGTGCCTGGACTGGGAGTGAGGCGTGGACCACCTCTGGGGACGCATGGTGAGTTTTCAGAAGCCTGCTGTCTTGGGGGTGCAAACCCATGCAGGGCCCCGGCAGCCCTCATGATTTTGGGGGTTGGTGGGGGGGAAGCATTCTCGATGTTTTGGGATTGGCGACGCAATCGCACATCGATCTCCGTCGGAGGACGAACTTGGGCACCGCAATGAAATCCCCGTCGTTCGATGGGGGGGGATGGACCCGTCCTGAGAACGGACGATCCCGATTTGGGACTGTAAATCTTGGCCTCGAAATGGTGGTTTGTTCAGATGTTTGAAGGGTCTGTAGGTGAGTATTCCCATCTCAAATGGATGGGCCCCCGGGCACACCATTCTCATCGAAAAAGTCTGACGCCAAAACCAAAAAAGAAACAAAACATACGAGATCTCAGGGGCTAAGCCCTCAAACCACCAAAACTACTTGACCTCCAGAAACAGGATGCTTCCCCTGGTCAACCCAAGCCACCAAGCAAGTTCGACCGGAGGGGGTACCCTCCCCCCCGTCCCAATCTCCGGACGGCGAACTTCCGTCGACCCTGATCTAGGCCGCGTGGCATAAGGTCCCTTTCTCCAGATCCAAGTCGGCCACGATCTGACAGAGAAAAGAAGTAGCAGTAGAAGAGATGTCGATGTCCGATGTCCAAGTTGGACTCATTCGACCCCGGCCTATGGTAGTGGTGGATGGATTGACTAATGAGTCCAAAAGGAAGTCAAGCGGTCCCCAGAAGCCAGGAAGCTGGGCCATCAACCGATCTTGGACCCTAAGATGAAACGGCCAAACCTTTTCCTCGTCCGTCCGAGGTTTACAAAGTTGACATGCCATCAAGGCGGTCAAAGCTCACCAAATTCCAAGGTTCCCTAGTTCACTTCCGAGCTGAGCAAGGCTCAACATGCGACCTGCCGGTCTCCAACCCCACGTTCCCAAACCAAAATTATGTTCCGCTCTTTTGTCGTCTGGTCTCGGCTGTTCTTCGTGGGGAAAAAACACTGCCCCCCAAAGCCGATCCCCTCGCACCAAAGCGGCACCCGCGCCTCCTGAGGTTTGGAGTTGAGCCACTGATCGGAAAGCCACCTGTCCGGCGGTCCCGTGAGGTCGGCTTGGACTTGTCCGGCGTCGGTCGGTGGAGAAGAAGACCTGCTTTTGGAGGAGGAGGAGGATTTGGCACGGCAAGGAAATGATGGGTTGGGTCGGTTCTCCTTTAGCTAAACCCTGACCCCTTGGGACAAACTAGGGCATCTGTGTCTTTCATGCTCTTGCCAAGCCCAAAACATGGTGAGAGATTGGGAAATCCGCCAACCCCTACCTAGCTGGGGCAGTGCTTGGGGCAGCGCAACGTGGAGCGGTTGCCTGTGGACCGTGCCCCTGCCAACTGCCTCTGACTCCCTCTGCCTGCTTCTCGCTGTGGCTTCGACACCATTGCTTTACTGGGCTTCGAAGCTGAGGTCTGGCCCCTCTTTCCGACCGCATTTGCGCGCAGAAATACATGGGGGAAGGTTGCCAACCTTGTTTTACTGGGCTTCGAATCTGCCGTCTGGCCCCTCTTTCCGACTTTTTGCGCGGAGAAAGAGATGGGGGAAGGTTGTGGCGAAGGGTGCGTTCAGGCCTCGGCCGTGGGCTTGCCAACCTTGTAGCATACATCAATGTCTCTTCGGACGAGGCCACTGCTTGCAAAAGCTCTTCCCCCTAGTCTGATGTTTGAAGAATACTCATACTTCTTTCTCAGCGTTCCATGCATGATTGCACTACTGGAAGCACCCATGCTCCACTTCCTTTTCATTTCCTTTTCATCTCCTTTTGATTCTTGTCTCTTTCCTTTACATTCCTCTTGATGTCCTTTTGATTTCCAGTGGATTTCTTTTGACTTCTCCTTTTGACTCCCGTTGATTTCCTTTTCATTCCTTTCCATTCTCGTCTGATTCCTGCTGCGTTCCTTTACGCTCCTTTTCATATCGTTTTCCTTCCTTGTGCGTCCCTTTTCATTCCTACTGTATTCTGTTCCTTTTCATTCCTTCTTTCTTCCGTTGGTGTCATGTCCTTGCCGTTCCTTTCTATTTCCTTTGGCTTGCTTTGGATTTCCAGTTGATCCCTATCCATGTCCTTTTGATTTCTCGTGATTTCCTGTTGATTCCTTTTCCTTTCCTTTGCATTTCCTCTTCATCTCTATTGATGTCTCTTTGGTTTCTTTGATTTTCGTCTGATTTCCTTTGGTTCCTTTTGGTTTCTTTTGGATTGCTTTTCACTTCCTTCTCATTCCTATCCATTTCCTGTTGCTTCCTTTGATTTCCTTTTGCTTCCTATTGTTTTCCTTTTCGGTCCTTTTCACTTCCTTCTGGTTCCTTTTGCTTTCCCGTCTTTCTGGCTCCTTTGATTTTCTTTTAATTCCTAGCCTATATTTGAAGAAGCCGAGCGTGCTCGTGCGTGTGCACGAGCGCTTGTGCGTTCGTGTGCGTGCGGGTGCGGGTGTGCATGTGCGTACGCGTGTCTGAAGCTGAGGATGCCAGGCCTTTTCCATCAGACCCTAATGCGCACACCTGTGTGGGAGTGTGTATGTGCAGGCGTAAGAAGCTGTGCTCATCGTCGGATTTTGCTGTGCAAAGAGCCTGCGGATACGCAGAGTCCCCTGAGGGGCGTCGCCGGTTGGCGAAGCCTATCAGTAACTTCTGAGTCATTCCCACCAAAACCCCGCAAAACGGCCTAAACTCCATGTTTCATGTGCATCGAACCACACCCACGACATCATGGCCTCGGGACTTTAATGAGTCTCAGTTCCGCCATTGGCGCCAGCCAGTCGACTCACCCCACTCGTTGCAATGACTGGGTGACTCTGTGATCGGGCTGCTTTTTCCTGAAACAAATCAAGTCTATAAAGTCTATGAGTGTTTGGACCCATAAATTAGGAGTTTTTCTCATACGAGACGAATCGCAAATATCTGATATCTCAGGTTCAAATGTTTGGACGGGACCCTTTTCCTATCTGATCTGGACAGAAGAGTCCAACGAAGTAGCTGGAGCCAAAGTCACAAAGTTGTAGGAAACAGGTCAGGTCAAGCGAGCAAACCATGTCAGCGATGTTCGTGGGAGGAGGTTCGTTCAAAGCCTTTCAGCGCACGGTTCGGTCAGCGCGTCTAAAACTAGGCCTAGATTTAAACAGCCCTATGCCGAGACCTGTTAGGCTTTGCTTTGGTCTCGGGTGAAATCGGTGCCCTTTCACATCACCAGTTCACATCACCAGATAGCAGCAGCAAACCATCACTTGCGCAACCAAACGTCGCCATTGCTCCAGGAAATCGATGCTTGTGCCTCAGCAACGATCGGGGGAGCGGAACGCTCACGGCCTGGCGGAGTGGCAAGTGGGGCGAAAATGTCCAGTACTACAGTACTGCTTAGTGGTCTACGGAAAAGAAAAAGCCAAGGCCGCCAAGGCCTAAGTCCTTCATGTTGGGGTAATGGTCTTCCCAGCTCTCCCCACCCACTAGGAGCGATCGGACGCTACGAATGGGGCTCCTGGCCGTACTACTAGTGGCAAGAAGCTGCCAGTAACAAGTGCATCGCTACCAGTAACAAGGTGCCTTACTACAGTTTCTTCTTATTTGACCTCCAGCTCTCCCCACCCAGCCAAGTCTTTTTAGGCCAAGTCATGGCACTGTTCGACTGAGTCCGGTTGAATGCGGTCCCACAAGAGCCAAGCTCTACAGGCGATACATTTTGTCCAGACTGGGGTCCGGAGTCAACTCTGTCAAGGAAAAAAGAAAAGTGGTGAAACTCCCACATGCCTCAAGTTGCATGTTTTCAGGGAGCGTTATAGGATTCCAACAGCCTCACTGTGGAGTTCAACCATCTCGTCTTCATCGCTGCAAGATCATGTTTTTTGCGGCTAGCCGGTTGGTTGGTCGGGTATAGGGTTTTCACACTCACTGCAGGACCTTGTTGCCGGGGGCTACCCCAACTTCTGGAGTCCCTAGTCCTTCCGGAAGCTGTCCAAAACACTCTGAGCCACACCATGAAAGAATCCCGGAAAACATGTTCGCCATCAAGTTAGGGCATCTGGGAAGGGCCCTAACTTCTAAAATTGCACCTCAGAGGTGCATCAATGTTCACGATGCCGTAGATGGTGTAACCCTGCGTCTTTGTGATGATGTAGTCCTTTCCACCCGGAGGCTGTGATGGCGCGGTAGGAGGACGGGGCGCCAAAACCCAAACCACCTGGCCACGACGGACGGCTCACATCTTCATGGATTGGCTCATTCTGGCTCCACCAACGATACCAAACTCAAAGGATCTCCCATCCACTTCATCCAGTTTGCCGCTGTTGCTGTTTGCCGGTCACACTCTACGACCACTCTCACCTCTTTGTTTCAGTACCACGCAAACCCCACCCACTTGGAAACCTCTATATACCCAGGGGTGTCTTCCCTCTTCGCCCATCCGGTCGATCCGGCGGTCGATACGGCGCCACCTCAAAGCCGTGCACCTCTCCGATCAGTGCTCCATCCGAGCTGCGATACCAGCTGCCCTGGAGGTCCGAGATGGAATACGACCGCTGCCGCGCGGTGATCACGTCGTTCACATCGCCTCCGCCTGGGTCGTCAAGCGTTTCGTTCGTCGTGCTTTGGACTTTTTCGCACACAAAGGAGCACCGAGGCGCCGAAGACTGCAGGGGAAGAAGCAGTGAGGTGAGATGTTCATTTGGGGAATACTCTTTGGCTGCGGTTTCCCAGAGTTCCTCCTGTGGAAGTGGAGAAACAACCTCCTTCTATATAGAAGAAAGGTCATCCACGAGGCCATTTGTCCATTTCGAGACAGGCCCAAAAAATCGGCCACAGGGCGAACAAACATGAGATAAGTTTTTCTTTCACCTTAAGGGACAACCCAAGTGCATCCTATGAAAAAACTCGTTCATCCTTTACTCCCTTCTCGATTGAACACACGATGCCATGCAAGAACGTACAAAGCCCACAGAAGCAACGAAAGATCGAAAAAATAGAACAGACAGTAGAGCAAAAAAACAAACGACAAAAATGAGAAAAGTATAGAAAGCCAGAAAAGCAAGAGAAAAGCAAAAAAGCACCGGCAACAAAGGCCATGGAAAGCAAAAGCAACTTCAAGAAAGGAAACAACACGCCACAAGAAGACAAGAAGCGGGAAAGTAAAGAAAAGCGGTAGAAAACAAGGAAAAGCAAGACAGCACAAGAAAAGCAGGAAAAGCTAGATAAGCAGAAGAAATCACAGTGAAGCAATGAAAGGCCAGGAAAAGCAAGACAGACACAAAAAAGGGATGAAAAGCATGAGAAATCACAGAGAAGCAATGCAAAGCAATGAAAAGCCAACAAGCACGAAAAACACGGAGAAGCGAATTTAAAAACACTAATTAAACTAAATAAAGAATTAAAAGATTCATGAAGAGGAGGGATCGAGCAGTTCCATGTCCGGGCTGCCGAACGGAGGAAGTCGGGGCACCCCTGTCACTAGAAACTTTGGAACTGCTGGATGGAGACATTGGGAGATTCTTCAGAGGCCGGATTCCGCGAACCATGGGGGTCGGATTTGGAGGTGTCCCAGGTGCCACCGCTTTGAGGCAGTAAACCGACCAAATGCGTGCATGACCTGTTAGAGCCTCTCTAGGGTGCTGCTCACTTGATGATCTCATTCTGAAATTCTTCTCCGTTTTGCACGATTAAGCTGCCAGAAACTGCCAGTTTGACTGATATTGCTAAGTGACAGGTGAGCCCTTTGTAGGAGGTCTCTGCGCTGCAGCATAGTGAATCAAGACCCATGGGTCCAGCGCCCATGAGAGAAGTGGGAGAAATCCCACCTCCTAGTATTGAATTTCAGGTCCTGAAGCTCTTCCACCAGAGTTCCAAGCGGGTTAGTATTTGTCCATAAGTCACCCCCGGCACCCCCCTCGCAACTCCGGGAGCTTTGAATCTTTCTTTAGTCCCTTAATTATCTTCTCTTGTCTTCTTTCCTGGACTGCTCTGCGCACGGGCGAACAAATCTACCAAACCTGAAATGCCTGAAATGTCTCGTTTTTGTGGAAAGGAACCCAAAAGAGTAGTTCTCATGGAGCGTTCACGCAACATGCAACTCGGGTGGTCAGAAGACACATGCGAAAATGTCTAGACAACCAAATCTCTAGACTCTACACTCTACATTGACATTTGGGCCACGAAATCCAGAACCAAAAGATTGAAGATGTCAAGCTTTCAAAAGAGAAGCCAGCTGTACAGGATTCTTAAAAAATGTATCTTAAAGCGGACTTGTCTTCCTACGTTCAGCATCCCCATATCTGTCATCTTCCATGCGGACAATCGAAAGAAATTGCATCAGGGAGGGGATTTGTCTTTGCAAACTGATGGTCCAAGCTTTCAGAGCAAATCGACTCATCTCTGGCTTTTCCAACTGCAGGTCAGCGCCGTGCTGGGGTATCCTTTCAGATGCCCCAAGAACGTGTGTCGCGCTGGAGAAGCCTTTGAGCAAACATGGGGCGAAGAAAGAACGTTAGTTGAAAACACCCAAAGAAGACCATGCCTTGAAACCCGGAGTCTGTTGAAACCCAAACTTTCGCGTGCATCGCATGCTGTGGTTTTGGATGGGCGCCCCAAAAAAGGGACACACTGCGTCGTCCCGTGGTCCCCTTCAGGGACGTGCTGGTCCCCTTGGTTTGGCCAAGCCAGGACCCTCGAGGCGGCGGTTCCGCCTGGAATCGACACCCTTCACCTGTCGGAACCGAAGCCCATTACGGTCTGGACCGTCACCGGCGATCAGGTGGACATTGGGTCAAAACCTAAGACCCCCCTGGCTCCACATGGTTCCATAGTATGGCTCAAAGAAAATGGCTGCCCCAATGTGGTTTCAAATGGTCAGCAATTTGGTGAATTCAGCACGGAGGTGTCTTCTACTTCTTCACCATCGTACATCTCCAACACAGGTGAAATCACAGCTAGCGGGCTAGGGGCCACTGGGTCCCCAAAATGCCTCGCGGGTTAATCCACATAGAAGATCAAATATGTGATGTGTGAAGTCTGCAGTGGAGCAAGGAGGTCTCTCCTCCTGGTTTCCAGGAGGTTGGGCTCTGCTGCGGACCGACTCTCAGCCCATCCGATTGGTCCAGTCAGTGGTGCCATACATGTAGCGGCAGAAGGGGTTGATCTGCGCAGGCCGAGGAGGCGACCGGGATGGGCCGGTCGAAAGCGACCGGTCAGCATAAGAAAGGACCACCGATACTGGCGACCGGGATGGCGGCGTGGAACCATCGAAGGTGTCCATAAGTCTTCAGGGCATCCTTGAGGTCTATTTTACTATTCCTAGGACTTCAGTGAATGCTGATGGCCAACTCAGTAATAAACTTGTTTCAGCTGAGCAGCTGTGAACCTGGAGCGAATCCAAAGTGTACCTCTGATTTCCAGGGCAACTCACACCACAAGGCTAAGAAGACATGACATGAATGTGTCGCCAAATCAACTCATCACCCCTCCACCAAATCGAATTCCTCCGCTTTTTGAGGACGACTCCGCACCGGTTGACCCAAACACCACCAGTTCCGGGCACCCCGCACAGAAACTACCTGGTTCCGCCCGGAAACCCGCCCCGCCGTCCCGCCTTGCAGCTGGGACCGGTGCTCTCGAGGCGTGGGAATTCCCCCACCGACCTCGGTCACCGTGGCGGCACGGGAACGGCACTGTCGACATGTACAACAAACTTAACTCACTAACGAACTAACTGGCGTTCAACACCTAAGTGAGATTCCTTTCTACAAGAGTCTTTCACCGAAGCTTGCATATCGCTTGCGTGACTGCAGCTTTATCTTTCGCGCAGCAACTGCGTGAGCCCAAACACTTTCGCGGCGCTGACCCGGCGGATTGGTTGAAGCAAAGCTTCACACCTTCTTTACCAAACTCTGTATATACTATATAGTAGTTTTCAAGCAGCAGGAGGGCTCAGGCTCAGAAGCAGAAGCGGAAGAAGAGACAGTTGGCCCCATTGTTTTTCGTTTCTTCGCGGCGACCCTGCGCAAGGCTAGGAAAAAAGCCGAGCACTTGCAGAAAGGAGGGTTTGGAAGAAGGCCGGCTGTCCCAAAAAAAGGCCTTTTGCCAAGCAAAGTGCCTAATGAAGAAACTATTTTGAAACGGTATTGTGGGGTGAAGCTCTGCCGTGGCCTGTTCCAGCGGCATATGAACTACAAATGCAACAGTGAATTGACCAGGGCGGCGCTAAACCGGACGGCGCGTTTACCGGACGGCGGATCGCCTTCGTAGAGCCGGAACGCGGGGGAAGGCAGCTCATTTCCTAGAATCTTTTTGAACTGGTCTCTTTTGATTGTTTCATGGAACAGTCTTGGCTGCATGACACTATGAATGGTGCTTGCTCTATGCACCAATCGAAGAGAACTCTTGAATGGGTTCATGGAGGCGTAGGGGGTAGCTCCATGACTACCTGGAGCAACTGAGCAACTTGAGCCTTCACATCTACATTTGGTCCTGGCTCTCTGTATTCCGCTGAAGGTGCCCCTACTAAAACAAAAGTCCAAGTCAAACCTTACTGGCCTTGTGAGCCTTGTTGGCTACCTAACATGAAGAAAATGCCCCTTCGCCGAGCTTACGCAACATTGCTTGTCTTGGACTCTTTCACTCAAGGCTTTCGCAAGTCGCGAGCGTTCGCACTCCTCAGTTGTTCTTTCCCAGCCTAATGAAACTAACACTGCTAAAACTAACTTAACTGGCAAACTAACCTAAACTAGTAGTTATTTCGTGCCTCCCTAATTAACTGGGCATGCTGCCTCGCGCGACCGGTGTACACACACAAACACACACCAGCCACACGCGGACGCTTGGCCCCAGACTTGGAGAACTTGTTGGAGAGGCCGAACCTCGATTGGCGAACGGGCCGACGCGGAGGGTCAACGAGACTCAAATGCCGCCGGAGCGCCTTGGTGCCGTCATCTCCGTGGGATACCTGGAGCCAGCGCTGGCCGGGGCCGGAACGCGGTGTTCAGCTCCGGGCGCTTTGGAACGGAGGGTTGGACCAGGGCAGATGGATTTGGTAGTTCGAAGTGTTTTTGATTAGACTTCCTCAAGGTCTTTCAGCTCTCTACCGGACACCTTGGACTCTGACAAACTGAGCTGGCGGGCTCGGGACGCACCCGACTTTTCCCACCCAAAAGGTCCAATTTCATTCGCATCTTTCAGAGGTCAGCCAAACTCCTCAAAGCCCCGCCCAAAAAGGAGTGAATAAGACATGACCGTGTTCATTGATTTCGGCAAATTGCTGCGTTTTGTTGATATCCAAAGGAAATTCCACAGACTGCACAGCATTCAGTGCAATGGCCAACGCATGAAACAGCAAGCTGGCCCGCAGCACACCACAGATAGGTCCAGAAGTCTCCCGAGGACTGACCCTCCGGGCAAATCCCAGGCTCACCTTGAGCCATAGATGGAGTTGCTGGTGAGGTAAACGCAAGCGCCTGTGCAGTTGAACAGCCAGCCCAACCACTTAAGTTTGGTCTACACTCCCTGGAACAGCCCCTCGGATGACCATTTTCCTCTACAAACAGGTGGTTGTCCACTCCCATGATTGTTTTACGGAGTCCACTTTTCCATATCTCAGAGGCCTTTGGGAGGTCTCCCATTTCAACAACACACCCACTTTTTATTGGCGGCTCCGGCATCCCCTCCCTCCGAAACACACATCATCTGGCGCCCATCAATTCTTGGAGTTGCATTTTTGATCACTTATGTAGCAGCGTGTTCTACCAAGAGTTGTGCTCCAAAATACCTTGCCGCTGACTGTTTTCATAGTTTTTTTCTCACCAAGAGCAAGCAAATCCAAGCAAGTGTGTACTGCAATCAAAAATCAGCCCCAGAGAACAAACTGACTGTTTCTTTACCCACCCCTTCATACGTCACACCTCCTGCTCTCTGAAATGTTGCTGAAGGCCCCACTATCCTCGGACGACTTGGCTGATCAAAGGCGCCCACAATGAGTGTTTCCCGGGCACGACGGTTCCCCCTTGACAGGAACGTGTTTGGACAGGAACGGTCGGAACGCCCCAAAGCATTTGGCCTGAACTTCAATGTCTCTGCCCGGCGATCGCAGTCGAGGATTGGAAAGGGTTCTTAATTTACATGTCAAAAAATACACACGAAGCGGAAGCCTCCTCTTCTTGTTTCCTTCCTTCACACGAAACCTCTTGGGTCCCCTCACCCAGGTGTTGAGAAGCAGCGAGGCTGCGAACTGTCCTCCTCCATCTTGCGCCTCAGAACGCAAAGAAAACGGGGTCCAAAATAACAGAGAGGATGCGATAACTTGAGCAACTGACGCAAGCGACAGCTTTTGGAAAAGAATGTGTCCCACCAGCTGACTGCAACATGTGGGTTTGTCGTCGGTATACGAAAAATTAGTTACAAACTGAGGTTGGTTTGGTTTCGGCCCAATTTTAGGCCGACACCCAGGTGGTCCTTCTTGCTTCGATGACAAACCGATCGAGCTTGACCCTGCCCTTTGAACCAAAATCATGCAAATGTATTCGTGCAATCACCCGTTCTGTGTTGCGCATCGACAGTGTCTTTTTATCCACCTGACGGACAAGTGTTCGTGCTTTGTGGTAAGTTTTTGAACAACCGTTTTGTCGCACCACCCACATGTGCGCAGTCTTTGTCGATATGATCGAACCGTGATCAAAAACCTGGCCACCTACTCAGCTGACAAGCAGACCGTGGATGCCGTATCCACGGATACAGCCATTCTGGAGCGGAGATTGCAACCGTTTGGCTTTCAATACTCTATTCAAAAACACCAAGACCTTGCACCCAGGTGGCGGTGCACTCTGGCAACCCGAACCGCTCAGTTGTGGCCAGCACGACACAGCGGTGACTGACAACCAGCGGATCAACACGTGTATCCGTT